CCCCCGTTCCCCTCCCTCCCTTCCCCTGACCTGTTCGTTGTGACTTATCTAGCATTGCATTAGAAGTGATCGTTTTGCCGTTCGCTCTCCTCGCTGCGCCCTCTTCGCTTCGGAAAGCTCTCAACGAGACGAAGGACGAGACGGTCGTGGCCAACGCGCTTCGCCCTGCCTTCTGAGTGTTCCGAACATCTTTGAAGACCTCAGCCAGCGTGGCCGCCGCGTCAAAGTCGCCCACGAAGCCGTCGTCGACGAGATGGCTCATCACCTCCGCACCTCTTGACTCCCGCCTCATCCCTCACTCCCCCTTCTGAAGCTCGCTAGCTGCTGCGACTGCTACAATGAGCTCGAACGGTGCCGCTCCTACGGCAGAACAAGTCGCGCGCACGGCGAAAGAGGCGTTCGATGCCTCACAACTCCTCGACTCGAGCGAACGGCACACAGCCCTTCTCGCGCTCAAGCAGGCGCTGACGGATGCCAAGGAGGAGATCTTGGAGGCGGACAGGCGGGACATCGAGGTGCGCCGCGCTTTCGTCGCTCCTCGAGACGTCGGGCACACGGGGACTAACCATCGGAACGGCGTGGACAGGCTGTGCCGTCTTCATCGACGAGTGCGCCGTCGAGAAGAAGGCAGTCAACGTCGTTGTCGACTCGAAGGTGCGTGGCGCGCGAGACTGGCTGAAGGAGACATCGCTGACGTCGCTTCTCGTCGCAGATGACCTACACCGCTGCTTGCAACGCCGCCGAGACGCTCCTCATCCACGACTCGCTCCTCTCTTCTTTGTGGCCTCGGTTAGCGTCCGCCCTCCTCGACGCCAACATCCAGCTTCGCTGCGACCCGTCCACCCTCTCCGCCCTCTCCTCATCCATTTCCTTCCACTCCTCCTTGTCGACTCTCGCCAAGCCCTCGACGGAGCGAAGACTACGAGCCCGTGCTCGCAGTCCGAAGGCGTAGTGTGTGCTCGTCTCTCCTCTTTCTTTCGTTGCTTGCACTGAGCTTGCGAACGCTCGCTCGCAGTCGGCCGTGTCTGCCGAACCACCTCGATCTCTCCTCTCTTCGCGCTTTTCTCGGGCGCCAGCGGACCCAAAGCATGCGCCGCGGCCTCTGAGAAAGGGGCGCAGCGGTCGCCGAAGGAGCATCAGGAGAAAGCTGGACGAGACGAGAAAGGGTGGGCGCTTGAGAACCAGTACCGCGTGTGGAGGGCGAAGCCGCGTGCGTCAGAAAACTTCAAATGCGGCTGAAGACTCGCTGACCTGGATACTCCGCGCGCGTGCTTGAAACAGGTCCCGCTCACAAGCGTCGACTCTTCGATCCACCCCGTTTCGTTTGCTCGACTTCCCCGCTATTGATTCTACTGACTGACGTACCTTTTGAGCATAGACACCGGCGAGCCCATCTCTATCCCCTTCTGCCTCTCCGCCTTCGTCCCGACCGACCTCGGTCATCTTTGCCGGCATGCTCGCGCCCAATCCTTCCCTCAAATCGGTCATCTTCTGGCAGTGGGCTAACCAGTCGCTGAACGGTGCGCGAACAATCTTGATGGTCGAAGGGCGAGAGCTGACCGGCTTTGTGCGTCTCCTTGCAGTCTGCGTGAACTATTCGAACGCGAACAAGTCGATCAAGATGTCGACAAGCGAGATTGCCTGTTCGTTACTGAGTTAACTGAATCGTCCTCTCTGCTCTGCTGACGTCCTCGCCCTCACACAGCCGCCTACGCCGCCGCAACCGTTGCCTCGTGCTCCATCGCCGTCGGCCTCCCCCAACTCGTCCCCCGACTACGCGTTTCCCCCTCCGCCCGCGCTCTCCTCTCCAAACTCGTCCCTTTCGCCGCCGTCGCAAGCGCCGGATGTGTCAATATCGGCTTGATGCGGTGGAAGGAGATGCGTGACGGTGAGTTTGGGCGGTGTCTCCTTGCCCTGCGGCTGCTTGAGCAGGCGGGCTTGTCTCCCGCGCAGCGGAGCTGGCCGCGAAGTGGCTGGTGGAGAAGCTTGCGACGGAGTCGCCCTGCCCCTTCGTCCGGTGCTGGACGACCTCGCTCTCTTTCTCGCTTGTCTCGCCTACTGATCTCCCGCCTTCAAACGTACGACCGCTCTCGTCACATCCAATGCTAACGCATCTCGTCCATGCGCAGGTATCTCGGTCTTCAAGCCCTCCGACCCGAAGACTGGCCGGCCTTCGAGCGAGGAGTTGGGCAAGTCCAGCATCGCCGGAGCGTACGCCGTCGGGCAGACCGCAGCGAGACGCGTCTTGACCAACATGTGCGTCCGAGCCGCCCGCTCCCTTCGAGCCGCACGAAAATGGCGGCTGACTTGCTCGCCCGTCTCGCTCCCGCTTCCCCTTCTCCACCTCACTCTGCCCCGCAGCCCCACCCTCATCCTCCCGCCCATCATCCTGACGCTCCTCGAGAACGCGGCATCCTCATCCTCCCGCCCATCATCATGACGCTCCTCGAGAACGCGGCATTTTCAACCGCCCGAATGGCCGCCGGCTTAACACCGTCACGCACATCGGTTCGTCCTTTCCGCTCGCTCTCCTTAGTCTCGCTGACGCTTCCTCTTCGCATAGGCTTGATCGGCCTCTCCATCCTCGTCTTCCTCCCGCCCGCCATCGCTGCTTTCCCCTCTCGCGCGAGCATCTCGCCCAAGAAGTTGGAGGAGCGGTTCCACGAGGTGCTGTTCGAGGAGGTGGAGTTTAACAAGGGGTTGTAGGCGCGTGGTAGGTGGAATAAGTATGCCTGCATCGCTCGTTCGGCAGATACTTGAGAAGTTTGAGTCGAGGGAGCAGCAGCGGCGAGAGAAGGGGGGAGGTCGCTAGAAGTCTATGGGCGATGAGAGGGTCGCCGCGGACGACGGAGGCGGCGGCAAACGGAGGGTGGCAGGATCGCGGTAGCGGGTTCGGCGGGTCGAGACAATGTGGGATGCGTTGATGCGAGCCGCAGTTTGACCAGCAAGACTGGATTGTCGAGGAAAGTCAGCGAGTAAGCGAGGAGCGAGGAGAGCCTGCTGGCGCACTGTAAGCGTTCAGACTGCGCGCCCCTCGTTGACTAAGCTAGCCGTGCCTTCCCTGTCTTGCGGAGAAGCGAGGAAGTCGTTTGTGCGCTCGAAAGTCCCGCTGTCTCCCCTCCTCGCCGGTCGCTGAGCTTGACAACGCGGCAGTAGCAGTGTAGTGTCTCTGTCGTGGTGTTGCATTCTCAGCTGGGCTCGAATCAGAGGAGGGACCACACGCACTCCATGTCGCTAGCTGTCCGAGTTGAGGATGCGCGCGTGCCACAACGGCGGGGGCTTCGCGAGTCCGTTTCCCTCCATCCATTTGGCAGGCTGAGTCAGCATGCAACGTAGCCTAAAAGTCCGCCCGCGCCGAGTTGCCGCTGTTCGCGTCGTCGGGTTCAGCGAGAGGTGGGGGATCAAGCGAGCGACGGCAACGAAGGGCTGGGCGAGCACAGGCTACCAGCGAAAGCAGTCTAGCGAGGAGCACAACGTCTTCTAGCAGCTGTCCGAGCAATAGCGGTGAGCGTGTCAAGTACAACCCTCGTCGCGAGTCGCTCCTTGTCCTCCTCGACAACGCTCGCTCCGCTCTGAGAGCTTGCTAAGCTTGCACTGTCCTTGTTATCAGCTGTATCGACCTTCTCTCGCCTCGCCCGCCCGACCTGCCGCGGCCTATCGCAGCCGCACGACCTCAAAGTTCAGGTGCGTCTCGCTCGTTCGCTCGGCTTGCACGCGGCGTGGGATGGGACTTGGGCGCATGCGATGGTAGTGTGCGAGCTCTGCGGAGGGTTGCGTGGTGGCCGGCCTGCTGGAAAAGCGGGAAACGGACTCGGGAAATTCGGCTGCTCCTCCCGCGAGGACTCGACGAGTGGGTGTGCGACAGCATAGAGGTACAATACTTCGGTAGCCTGCACATAGGACGGTACTGACGCCGCTCGCCTACTCCCGCAGCACGAGCCCTCGCCACCCGTGACGACATGCCACGGTACGCCCGCTCTCGTCGACTTATCCTTGTTGTTGCGTGCTGAGCATCGGGACTGGATGAGCGCTGACGCACTGTCCTTTGCATACAGCCACGGCGTTTCCGTGTGCTGCTACGCTCATCGCTGGAACGCGTCTTTTGCGTTCAGGACTTGTTCTGCAGGCTTTTCTGTCGAGCTCCTTGCCCTTTCTCCGCTCTCCCGCCGTTTGAGCTGGACGAGCTTCCGCTACGGACGTCACCTGATTGCCTGCTTATTCTGTGGGGGCCGCTGCGCTGAGAAGGCGACCACTTTGCCGCAGGTTTCGCTCTTTAAGGTGAGGCTGACCTTCTCACCCTTCCTGTCGCTCTCAAAGTGACTCTGTCCGCTTCCCGCAGCTTCAGTCATCCTCTCAGGGTTCAGAGGAGCGAGGAGGGGAAGAGTAAGAGCAGGGAGAGGACGAGGGAGAGCTGGAGACGACTACTGCCCCTCCTTCCCTCTCCCCTCCGAAGGCAGGCTAACCAACTCTTCACTCAGACTCGAAGCGCCCTTCAGTTGCATGAACATGAGCAAGAGCATGGAGGCAGGACATTTGGACTTCGGCACCGCGAGATTCGTGCAGCGCTCGTGCGAGCTGAGGTGTGTCGCCCCTCGTCTCGCCACTCGCATTGTCAATCGTGCTGACTTTCCCTCTCCCTGCACAGCTGCTAGCGCTAGACTGCAGCCGCAGACTCGCACGCCACTCGTGCGAAGAGATGTCTTCGCACGTCCGCCTCTCCATCCTTCTTTGCCCCATCGCCGACGCCTGCTCTCCCTCCCTCTCCAGTTCCCGCTTCAAAACCCTGCACCCACATCTTCACCTTACGCCTCACACCGCTTCCCGTATTGGTCTCGCTCGACGCCAACTCGCTCAGCCACTTGATCCTCGTCCATCCTCTCGATCCGCCCATTCATCCCGCTCTCCTGCGGACACCCTTTGAGGATATATTTGTTGGTGGTGCCGCCTGAGATGTGTGCCAACTATCCGAGCGCGGAGAGTTTTGCAAAGAAGTGCTCTGAAGAATTGCGGGAAGCGGGTGCGTCGCGCATCTCCTGGTCGTCTCCGTCTCTCCCTGATTCACATTCGCTTCGCTCCTCCGCAGGTCTAAACAGACATTGCGCCATTGAACAAGTGCTCCTCAAACCACTCACTCTATTTGCGCATCCTTCGAACCGGAGCCCAGCGACACTTCTGCCTCTTCCTCGACTCCGCCCTAATTTGCGCTGCACCTTTGCCACCCGCACGACAAGTTCTCCGTGGTGCCAAACGTTAAGGGCTGGCGGACGTCGCTGAACAAGAAAGTGAGAAGGAGGCATCGTGGTCGCTGAGTATGCATCGAGTGCATATGTGGAACAGAGGAGGGAAGCTGCGACAGACGAGACGATGGTTGTGAGGCTGAAGAGGAGGCAGACGCACCAGTGGGACAGATGAGCGGGGTTTCGAGAGCGTATGGTTGCCTGCATCGCGCAACTTGTCTTCCTTCCCCTTCCAGGAGTTCGCTCGCAAGATCCAGGGTGGGCGCGCAGCACGTTGGTCCTTCCAAGCAGCATGCGCGAAGCGCCCGTCCGGGAGAAGCTTGCGAGAAGCGCCCGTCTCAGCGTCTCTGGTCCTGAGCAAGCACAGCGACGAGCCCTTCGTGAGGCCAACGAATGGCCTGTCAGGATCGTCCATTGCGTGTAGCGGCAGTTGGAGAGGTAGGACGCTGTCTCTAGTGCTTGTGAGCGTGGTCGTCGCGAGGCGACCCTTGTCGAGGAGGCGGTGCAAACGCGCAAGATCGCTCCCACCGCCCCAAGTTGCTTTCTCGCCGCTCACACTCACTCGCTGGACTGCAAAGTCGCTCGGAGGGCTTCTCAGACTTGCTCACGTCTCGCCAAATGCACGCCCAGCCGTCACTCGCCCTCGCGCCGCCTTCGCCGCCTTGCTCGTTCTCACGGCAGCCATCATCCAGAGAAGCTCGACAACTGCGCGCGGAGGAAGGCGAGGGAGCTCAGGCGGTACAGTAGGAGGAGGAAGAGGCACCGAACAGGCTTCGCGTGTCCGTTCGGCATGAGGAGGCGGTTCCGCCGAGGTGGGAGGGGTTGGATGTTAGCAGGAGGGACGACACACGGCGCCTGGGCTTGCTATGCCAGAGATATGGAGCTCTGGACATGCTCTGTCGCTTATGAGCTGCACTGCAGCCCAGGAGGGGCGGAGTGAGCGCTTAGCACTGCTCCTCGCCCTCTTGCTGCTGGCCTCCTTCCCTCAATTCACCATCTCTTGCCTTGCGACTCGCCCCAGGGATGCTCCGCTACTTCATCGTGATGGCACAGCTCCCCGCTTTCGACCATGCTGCGAGACGGATGGTGAACGAGCGGATCTTGCTACCCTCATCGAGCGACCTCGAGCCTGTCAGCAAAGCTGGAGATATCGCACTTGAACCTGATCCCTGAGAATGAGCTGCGCAAGTCCAAGAATGAGCGAGAAAAATGGCTTCCGTTGTATTTACGGCGATTCGATCTACCTTTCGACTGGCGGAGTTCACCACATGCGAGTCCTCAGAGCCTCCCCTCGAGTTACTTCACGATTACAACTCGTAAGCCTTGATATGAAGGCGAGCGAGCTATCTCCACGACTTTGCCGTGAGAGTGCATTTCCCAAAAAAATCGGGAAATGCGAGGAGAAGAGCGTAAGTCGAGTTGTGAGGAGCCTCCCCTCGAGCATGAAAGGGTCACCGCGAAGCAATACAATGCTGTGAGTGGTCGACCCTTCTCGAGGAGGCGGTGCAGATGTGCATGATCCCACCGCCTCTGTCCAGCGCCTCCCCTCGAGTAAGAAAGGGCTATGGCGAAGCAATTCAATCTGCATTGTATTCCTTTGTCTCGCTCGTGAAGCTGTGACCCTGGCGGCATTCTGTCAAGCTGAACAAGATGCCAGGAGCACTCTGAAGTGTAACGCACCCTGCACCAGGCTGCACCCGACAAGGACAAGCGCGAGCAAGTTGTGATCAGACCTTGTAATGCTTCATTAGCCGGCGGCACGAGGGCACGGCTTCCTCTTCCCTCTCACTCGCTAACTCTTGCTGGGGCTCTGGGCGTGGCGAAGCCATGCTCAGGCTACTTTCACGGGCTGCAGGCACTCCTGGGACTCCTCCACTCCGCCCTCACCGTTCCACCTCTCCTATCGCTCGTAACGACTGCCGACCTCGCCAGTTGGCTGGCAAGACGCTCCATAGACACGCGATAAGCTCTCCTACTTCTGCTGCCAACTTGCGCAGGCCCACGCTAGTCCTTCTCGTTCCGCAGGCCGCAGCTTGCTTCCGCCTTTCTCCTAGTTCTCGCCACGCCTTCCTGGGCGCTGCTACGCCGCGACGCCTCGACGACGCTGTACACGGTTTGCGCGGTCATGAGCGACATGCAGGGCGGGTTAGAGTGTGCTGGGCGTGCGGAAACAGCGGCAGGTCGTTCGGTGCGTCGCTCTCCTGGCCTTCGCACTCGCATCCCGTTGCGTCTTCAGCAACTTGCTGATTGAAGGTGTTCTTTGTTGCAGCATGGCAGGAGTGAACTCACTACGCCGGCTCGCCCTTACCGCCGGCACCCATTCTCGACCTCTCAATCTCGCTCTCCCTCGTCGTACTCCTTCGTCCCCGTCGTCCGTTCATCTCGCCCTTGAACGACCGACACAGCCGGCAAGCTTGAGCCGTCGTTCTACTTGCTCTGCGTGAACCGGACAAGTCTGCACCAGGCGACCTTCTCCTCGTCCGCTGGTTGGACCGGAATGCTTCGTGACTGGCTTGCTCGCCCCATCATCCTCACCGCGAAGTTCTGTTGTGTTTGCTGCTTCTTGACATGCCACTATCGCTGCTCGTTTCCCCGGTCATGGCCGGCTCGAACGGACTTGCACTCGCCGCAAGACTCGCTCACCTCGTCCACGTGCACGACGACAGCAAGAAGAGCAAGTCGGCGGTCAAGAGCAAGTTGTTGAAGTGCAGGAATTAAATGACTTTCCTCTTTGCAAGACTGCAATTCGTACGACCTCACTTACGCAGTCGCTTGGGACGCTTCAGACTGCAAGCGACTGCCTGGACTGGCTTTCTCTCTTGCTCGCTCGTGTACATGGATGCTTAGGCACTATGGCGGACAGCTCACAATCCTAGCCCACCCATCTTCGCCCCCCTACCTTCGCTTTTCGCCCCTCCTCCTCCCTTCCCTCCGCCGTTTCCGCCCATCTCGCGCTCCACTTGCGTTGGCACGTGCTGTTCCGCCCCTACGATGCGCTCCTTCTCCACTGTGGGGAAGTCGGTCGCGGATTTGGTAGGGGCGGTGGAGGAGGTTGGTGCGGACGTTGCAGGCGCTGAGGAAGAGGGGAGGAGCGTTGTTTTGGCGGCTTGCACAGGAGGAGGAATGCCCGGGGCTTGTCAAAACGTCCGCGATGCGTGTGCTGAGGCCGAGCTAGTCAGACGTTTGAGGACTGCAAGAATGGCAGAGAAGGAGAATAAGGCGGGGAGCGGTCCATCGCTCCTCTTGCTTCGTGGGAGCTGTGAACGTCGCACACTGAGTTCGCTCGTCGTTTTGGTGTCACAGCAGCTGTAGAAGCGCTGCGAGAGACGCGAAGAAGAGAGAGATCAGCTTCTCTTCGCAAATTCGCTTCTTCGCCTCTTCCTTTTCTACCTCCTCTTCGCTTGCCTCGCTCACCTTCTTTCTTCCTTCCTCGCGACTTTGCCCGCTCACCGAAGCGTAGAGGAACAAGCGAACAAGCAGCGCAAAACGTCACCTCCCTCCTCCTCCTCCTCCTCCTCTATGACCTTCTCAACCTCCCGCTTCCACTGCTCTCGGTCACCTGATTGCTTGGCTCCTTTGTTCTGCGTACCGCGTCATCCGCGTCAAGCTTATTTCGTTCTCTTGCTGCGCCGGGAGGTGGGGCTTCCCTCGAGCGAGGTAGATCTCGTGCCGCTCTCCTTCCTCTCTCTCTCCCTCCTCCTCCCTTCGCTGAACAATCTAGGATGGTCTTCGGCTCAAACAAGACCCACGCTCATACCGCTCCCGTCGCTGGTACTGCCGGTGCGCCCGTCGCTGGTGTCGGCGCAGGACCCAGTGCGTCTTCCCTTCCCTCCTCTCCTCGCTCCTTTTGCTGACACCTTTCTTCAGCGACCCACACGCACGGTACCACCCACACCACTCCCGCTGGAGGAGGCGGGCTGGCGTCTCATATCCCCGGTACGCGCGCGCACGAGGAGAAGAAGTTGATGCAGCACGGGGGTGTCGCTGGAGCTGGAGCTGGCGCCGGGATGGGTACGACGGGAGTGGGAGCTGGAGGAGTAGGAGCGACGGGAGCGGGTGGGACGGGCACGGGAGGTGGGTTGGCTAGTAAGAGTGCGTCTCTCGCTTTCTCTCTTCTCGTCCTCGTCTCTTCCGCCGCTGCGGCAGCTAGATTGGGTGGCGCAGCGGTGTGAGATGTCGGGAAAGAGAGCGCTGACGTTTCGAATGGGGTTCGCGAACAGTCCCGGGCACCAAGGCGCACGCTGTTACCCGTTCGTCCTCCTTCCTCCTTTCCTCCTCCCTCCTCTTTCTCTTCGCCCACACTGACGCATTCTCGCTGCGCAGACTCGCACGAAGCGACACACGCCTCCGCCCTCTCCTCCTCCCACCCCACGACCACCTCCTCCCACGCTCCAGGGCACCACACGCACACAACCGGCCAACACGGGAACTTGCGTCCTGGAGAGCCGGGGACGAAGACGGTGACTACTACCACGACGACGGTGGTACCGCAGCCTAGTGTGGGGGACAAGGTGTCGGGTGCGTAAAGCGATTCTTCGTCTTTTGGCGGGAGCTAACGGGTTTGAGTGAGCAGGCAAGGTCGATGTCGCTCTCGGCAAGGTTCGTCCTCTCTCTGGCACTCCCTTTGAAGCGGTACTGACCAAGGAGCGAGCACAGTTGACGCACAACCCGGGCAAAGTCGCGGTGGGCGAGATCAAGCAGACGGAGGGGAAGAGGGGTTTGGAGGCCGCTGGGTTGGCCTACCCGACTGGGAGGGCTGTCTAGGCGGCGAGACTGTCAGATACCTGCTACGCTGCTTCCCTGTGAATAGTTCTGCGTTCCCTTGTATCGTCTTCGTTTCCTCCGCCCGCTTGACGACCCCTTACGACCCAGTTGCAACGCTGCCTCGATTCCAACGTCTCGCAGTCGTCGTCACGGTCGCAGCGACAGCGAAAGAGCGCTGCGTTCGTCGTCAGCCCGCGGTTGTCCTCGTCGTTGTCCTCTGGACTGATGACAAGTTGCCGACTGCGGGTCGTCACTCTTTCGCTCCTCTTCTTCACTTTCTGAGCGAGAAGCTATGGCAGAGCAACCCGCTTCACGCATCCAGTCCTTCCTCCAGCGCACGACCGACCGCCTCCCTCCGCTCTCCCAACTCCCACACCTCGCACGCTCCACCGCTCCCCGCCTCGACCCACGCCAGTTACCCGAGACGCTCCCGCTCCAACTGACCATCAAGGCCCTCTCAGGCGTGCGCAACGACACCCAGTCGCTCGCGAGGGAGACGCAGGCGTATTCGAAGCAGCTGTATGTGTGGACAAAGGAGGAGGAGGATGAGCGAGTTAGGGTCGGAGGGGACAGGGCGGCTTGGTGTGTGTGGAAAGCGGGCGAGTGTGAGAAAGAGTGCGCGGAGAGGATCGAGCAGGCGAGGGTGGTGTTGAAGGACATTGTGCGCGAGGTTCTCTTCCACCTCGCGGAAGTGACTGAACTGACGAGGCTTGACCCGCCAGCGCAACTTTGAGAACGACCTCGTCCCGCGCCGCCGTGCCCACTCGGCTCTCACCTCGAAACTCGCCTCGACTTCGAAAGAGCTCTCCTCTCTCTCCCCCTCTTCCTCGCCCTCGACGCGTCAAAAGCTCACCGACTCTGCTTCGATACTCGAATCCGACCTCGCTACGCTCACGGCCGAAAACAGAGAATACGAGCAGTCCCTCGCCCTACTCAAGAGGGAGAAGTTGAGCCAGAGTTTGGTCGGGCAGTTTGAGGCCATGAGAGAGTTGGGGGAGAAGCTGGCGATGGTTGGCAAGTGGGGGGAGGCCCTGGCGCGTGAGATGGGCCGCGAAGAGGAACAAGGAATGGAGGAGATCGCGGCGAGGGTCAAGGCAGGGCTGGAGGAGGAGCTGCGTAGGTGGACGAAGGGGGAGGTGCCGGTCCTCGGTGCGGGTGCGTCCGCGAAGGACGACACAGCGAGCTTGTTGAGCAGGAGCGACACGAAGTGCGTTCGCGCCGTCTGCCCTCCTCCCGACCTTCGCCGTACTGACCCTCCTTGCATCGCGCCCACAGGAGTTTCGGCGACTCTCACGCCGCCGAACTCTCCTCCCTCCACACTCCAAACCCGTTCGCCGACCTGCCGCCTTCCAGCTCCTCTCACGCACCCGCTCTTCCTCCTCGTCCCTCCTCGCCCTCATCCATCTCGACCTCCAACACCGCCGCAATCGCACACGCTACTCTCGGCGGCTCCTCCTCTCCCACTACCTTGAAGTCTGGAGGGTTGGCGCATCCCCCGCTGCTCGCAACGCTTCACTCGCAGGCAGTACTGGAGACTTCCCCGTCCTCCATCCCTCCTCCGCTTCCCGCTCGTCCCTCTTCCTCCTCTCCTCCTCCCCCATCAGGAGCCCTAGGACGCTTGAACCTCTCTCCGACCCCTCACCCACACCCCTCACTCGGCTCTTCCCCTCCTACTCTCAAGCCCCAGCCCGTCCCGCCTCCCACGGATGGACCGCTCCTTGCGCCAGGGTTGCAAGACCCAACGGTGGCGGAGACTGGAGAACCGAGGATGGGAACGGGTGGGCCAAGTGAGGGGGTGTTGAGGCCGAGGTGGAGCACTGGAGGGGGAGGAGGGTCGATGCCAGGCGCTTTTCATCACGAGGCGGATGCGGACCCGGCGCATTGGGGCGACGCCGAAGGAGGGGAGAGGTTACCCTCGTATGGGGAGGGAGATGATGAGGCTGCGAGAGCGCGGGACAGGGCGGAGGAGATTTTGGTGAGGGAGAGGGAGGGGAAGCGTGCGTAGGGTGAGAACGTGGTTGGTGGTGGTGAATAGACACTTTGCTTTCTTTGTCCTTCCGAACGGCGAAGAGGAGAAGAAACGAGAGAAAAGGAGGCGGGACGAAGGGAAGGCTTCGAATGCAAGAACTGCGTCGCCGGCACGTGCGAGCAGAGACGACCGCCAAAGAAAACGAGCAGGAGAAGAAAGGAGGGTATCGCAGGGTATGAAAGGCGCACGACTTGAAACACTTCCGGAAGGGTATGCGAGAATGCGAGAGGACAACAGAACAAGGCGGGGCTAGGGCGCATAGAGGGAGGGGAAGGGGTGAGCAGGGTAGTCGGAGGATGAGGAGGTGGCGGGGAGGGGAGGGAGTTGGAAGGCGGAGCCTTGGAGGGAGAGCGGGTGAGGGGCGGCCTGCGGAGAGCGTTCGGATGTATCAGCTCCTCATCGCACGATACGGTGAGAATACTGCACGGCGAGGAACGCCCGAACGCACCTCGAGACCGGCGTTCAAGAAAGCCAGGACGACGGGAAGCAAGCTGTTCTGCTCGGTGGTCGTGACGAGCTCGTGACCCGTCTTGACGAACGACCCATGCTGCGCCTTGGCCTCCGCCACCTCGTCCTTCAACTGCGCAGCAGCCTGCATCTTCGCCGCCGCGGCAGCTGCAGCCGCAGCAGGCGTAAGCGATCCAACGCGCTGCCTCTCCCCTGTCGAGCCGGAGAACGAGCCTCCCCCATAGCCCGGCAACGACGAAGCAGGCGAGCTTTCGTTCTCCTGCCGGTATTGCACGGCGTAGAGCTTGCTGACCGAGTTGGACCGCGCGAGTTGGCTGCCTGGACGGGTGGGCGTCCCGACTCGTCCGCGAGACGTACCGGGTGTGCCGGGCGGACCGAGCCGCGGGGCTGCGAGGTTCGGGCGCGGCGAAGGAGCGGCAGGAGGGAGTGGAACCGGCTCGTCGGGCGGGAGGAGCGAGTCGCGGAGAACTTGTACGGCGACTGTCTGTGCGGCGGTTGCGGCGGTGTCATGAGGCGGTGAGGGAACGCCGGCAGTCGCGGCGATGCGGTCGCGGAGGACGCGGATCCACTGCGCGCGCTCCTCGGTCGACGTGCACGAGAACATGTACTTGCGCTTGACGTCGAGGTGGTTGGTGAAGGACAGCTGGGGTGCAGTGCCTGGTCAGCCTTGCTTCAGCGGGAAGCGTAAAGACGAATGCACCTGGAAGATATGCTGCATGAAGGCGCGCTCGATGGAGAAGGCCTTGTTGAGCGGCAAGCCCTGGTACCTCGGAGCGTTCGCGCCACGCTTGATCAGGACCATGACCCTTACGCCAAGCGCCGTCCCGGTAACACGGAACGACTGCTTATTGCTCCGGGCGAACGACAAGACGGGCGGGTCGAACTGCAAGTCATTGCCGTGAAGCTTGATCGTGAACCTCGGGTCTGGCTGGGGGATGGTAATCGTGAACGTCTCGGACGGGACGCGGTAGATGAGCTGGGTCGGCAGCTTGGCAGGCTCAATAATTGCCTCAATATCGGGCGTCATGCTGAAGATCGAGTTGTCCGAGGCGTGCTCGATACGCTCGCGCCGGACCGAGGTGTAGACGCGGCTGAGCAAGTCTTCCGACACGACTGACCGCGGGTCGGCTTCGCGGAACGCTTCGATGAACTGGTCGACATTGGGACTGTTGAGGTAGAGAGTCAGCTCCTTGACACTCGAGAGAACGGACGGCAACGTACGGAACTTGCGGCTTGGGAGCGTTGAAGAAGCGCCCGTCTGGTCCATCCGTACCGTGCAGCGCATCGCTGAGCCGTAAGAGCGCCATGACGAGGCTGAGTGTGACGGCCGGGTCGAAGCCGCTCGCCGGGTTCGCTTCCGCCCAAATCGAGGCGACGACGCCGAGCACGTACTCGGCGGCCTTGACGTCGTACGGCAGCCGCACGCTCATGAGGAACAGCCGAATCGCATCGTCGATCCGCACGCCGGCGAAGCGGAACCGCTCGGTGTAGGCACGAAGTACGGAACGGTGGTTCGGGTTGGCAAGGTAGACGCCTAGTTGGTTCCGGTTGAGGTCGGTGTTGCGGAAGAGCAGGTTGGCGATGGTCGGACCGTCGTTTGCGAGGCCGCCTTTCTGTACCAGCGAGGCGATCGCGCGAGCCGGATCGTTGGCGAAGCGGTCGACGAACGCGAGCAAGAGGGGATGCCGCTTCTTGCTCGACGAAGAGGATCCCTCGTCGACGGGTTCCTCCGCCGCAGCAATCTTGAGCCGCTTGCACTCGACGACGCTCTTCGTGAGGAAGTGGCTGTCGAGCGACGGGAGGACCGGGTCGCCCGTGTCCGCATCGTGCTGGATGAGCGGCTTGGCGATGACAAGCATGTCGTTGAAGAGGAAGAGGTGCCGATCCTTGACAGTGTTGGCATTGACGACCTGCAAGACTGAGGCTTGGAGCGAGAGCTTGCGAGGCGGCGAGTCCAGCGGGCTTGGGTCCGTCGAGGCGAGCGCTTCGTCACCGAGTATCGAGTCGAGTTGGGCGAGGATGCGATTCGAGGGAAGCTGGTCGGCTGGGAGGCGAGGAACGCGCGGCTGAGTCGGGAACGGGTCGTGGGCGAGAGACGAGTTCGACAAGTCCCGCCGCATCATGACGGGCGAGTGATAGCTGCTCGCACCAGCCGAGTGGAAGGACATGTTCGAGTCGGTCGAGGGCGACTTGCTCATCCCCTGGCTTGTCGCAGGCGGGTCGAGGTGTGTCCGTGGCGATGTCGCGGTACCGTTGACATGCGGCGACTTGGTCGGACCAGGCTTGGGCGGCGACGAAGACGGGAAGGTAAGCGCAGCCATCGGGTCTGGAATGACGGAAGTAGGCGAGATCGGATCGGGCAAGAGGGGCGAGGCGGTGAGGTGGTTGTTCGGCGAGAAAGGCTGGTAGTTGGCGAGCGAGAACTGCAATCCGTTGCCCTTTCGAGCGCTGAGAGATGGCGAAGGCACTGCGATGGTCGGCGTAGCAGCGGAGGGTGCTTTGCTTGTCGAGGCGAGGTGTCGGAAGAGTCTGCGCGGCTGGATTAGCCTGGTCATGCGAGTGAGCAGCGAAAGGTTGAACGCACTGCTGAGGACTCTCCGCCGGTCCCTTCACCTCACTCGACGCCTGCTCCGCCGGCGCAACCTGCGACTCCCTCGGGCTCGCAACCGGGCTCGGGAACTGGTACCCCAAGACAGGCGGCGGGAAACCCCTTGCCTTCTCCTCCTCCGCCTCGCTCTCAGCGCGGTCCTCCTCCTCAACTCGTTCAGGTCTCGAGCTCGTTGCGGACCCAGACGAGGGCGGTCGGGTCCTCGTTGCGGCGCGTGAATCGTCCGAGCCTGTGCTGCTGGTCATCCGCATCCGACTCGACGACGCCGTGCTGCCCTTCCTCAGCGCAGCGGTCGACGAGCCCGGTGACGTGGGAGACGACAGCCCGCCTACGCCGAGTCCGATGCCGGTTGCCAACACGCTGGGTCGCCGATTCGGGTCTGTCGCACCGAGCGACGGCAGCGCAGTCGTCGCATCACTTCCTCTCCACCTCCCCCACCCACCCTGCGCCGCAACACTACTCGAAGCGCTCGATCCTCGTTTGCGGGCCGCAGCAGCCGCGACAGCCTCGTCGTCTTCTTCTGCCTCCATCCCTCGACCTTCGACGGCTGCGATGCCGAATGAGGGGAGGAAGGCGGGGCGGGACGTGGCGGCGCGTGCGGCACGGAGGGCGGAAGAGTCGGTTGAGGAGGCGGAGGTGGCTGAGTCGGTTGAGGAGGAGGGGGTGGAGCGGTACGTTGGGTACGAGGCGGGCTGGAGAGTCGAGGAGTGCTGTGCGGAGGGAGTGGCGAGGTCTGCTTCGTCGTGTGAAGGCTGAGATTGCCACGAGTTGAGGTAGGACGCTTGAGGCGTCCGTTCGGGCGTCTGGCCAGTCGGATTGTCGAGCCGAGGCGTCCGGTCGAGCGGAGTGAGTTGCGAGTCGCGCACGACTTCCTGCGTGTCGAGCGGATCGAGGCGATGTCGCTCTTGGTGCTCGCGAGCCACCGCACCGAGGAATGGTCCACCGTATGCAAGTGGCGGCGCAAGTCCTCCCCTCGCCTCTTCCGGCTCAACCGCCATCTCGATCGCACCCAATCCTCCGTTCGACCCCCCAGCACTCCAACTCCCGCTCCTCGGCCTCGCTCGCCCAATCCTCCCGACCACATCTAGCCCTTCTGCCGCCCTCGCACGCGAAGGGCCTTCCAGTCGCCGGGCCGACAACTTGCGCATCAGGTTCACACGAATCTTGTCCCTGTCGATGGGAGCGTCGAGCAGTCCCTCCGCGCTTCCTGCGCCAACGCCAGTAACGGTATTGTTGCGCTTCAATGCCGACCCGTCTGCTTCGCCCGACGCGAGAGGAGCCGAAGACGAGGTGACGGTGTTATTCCGTACGAGTCCCGCACCAGCTTGTTGCGCCGCGAGAAGTTTCGCCCTCGCGCGTTGTTGCAGTTCCTCAAGAGTCGGCATCACACCCGCCCCTGCTCCCTGTCCCGGCGCCGCAAGCGCATCGAACGAAGGAAAGAGGTCCTTGGGCGGTAGAGGCGGCGGCGCAGTACCCGTCAATTTAGCCATCGCAAGTTGGCGCGCCAGCAATGAGGCAGTCCGTTCGAGACTTGATGGGAGGGAGGGGGGAAAGTCTGCGGGCGGAGTGTAGGCGCCGAACGAGCGGGATCTTCGGCGCGATACGAATTGGGCGGGGGAGAGTGTGGAGGAGCTGGGTGGAGCGAGACGAGGACGGGGAGAGGAGGAGGGAGAGGCGGAAGGTGAGGACGGGGAAGGGCTGCCGGCTGTGCGGGTCGAGGCGGCTCGGCGCAGGGTTGCGAGTGCTGCTGCACGCGGTGCTTCGGTCGAAGAGGACGCGGTCGAATCCATCTTGCGTGAGAGAGACGGACGATGCTGCAGGAGGAGAGGGGGTAAGGGTCAGTCCTCGCTCGTGCGGGCTGCGGCTGCCAGTGGCACTCCAGCAAAGGATGCCTTCGTCCACTCTGCGCCTCAGACGGCTCCCCAGCTGCCGAACCCTTCCTCGACCTCGCGTCCGTTCAGCAACGAAGACCGAAGCTCACCTCGACGCTCTGTAGCTCGCGTACCTTACTCGATCCGTGTCACTCGGTCTCTTTGTCGCTCGTACGCCACCTGCCAGTCCACCCGAGGCGTGCGAGGTCGAGAGAGGGTGCCGTGCGTGGGGATGGCTGGACCGAGGAAGAGGCGACAACGGATTCGACCGTTTCGAGCACAGAGCCGAGCTGTACACGTTCTTTAACCCTCGTAGTCACAGCAACACGTCCAAGGCTGGCGGAAGAGCGAGCAGAAGAGCTGTGGTCGCCGCCAACTCCTCGCGACGAACCTCTCTCACGGACTTGTCTGCCTCCGCTCAAAACCCGCTCAGACTGCGCTCGTACGAGGCTAGATTGACTGCTGGCGATTCGCTCTACCCGCCCGTCCAACGCCTACGCCCGCTCGTGCCCTCGTCGTCGACTTCTCCCCCACTTCCCTCGTCAAACAACTCTGTTCGCTTCTCGCTCGCCAGCACCCGAGCCAGGATGAACTCACTCTACACGCTGGCCCTACGCCAGTCCTCGTCCCTCTCAACCGACATCGCCCAACTCTCCTCCCTCTACTCGTCCCCCTCCGCTCCTCCCGCATCCGCCGCCTCCCTCAACGGCCAGATCAACGCCTCGCTCGCGGCGCTCGATCGAACAGTCGATGACTATGAAGCGATGGCAAGGAGAGAGATTGTAGAGGCCAAGAAGGAGAAGGCGTTGAGTCGGGTTGCGCGGTTTAGGGAGGAGTATGCCGAGTTGAGGAAGGAGTATGAGCGGGTCAAGCAGAGAGGGAACGAGTTGGTGCGTGCGGCGTTTACCCTCCTTCCGACGGAACCCTCGCTGATCGCCTCCCGGCGCCCGCAGAAAGCATCCACGGACCGATCCGAACTCTTCGCCGCCTCCTCCTCATCCGCCTCTCCCTCCCTCTCCCAACCCTACGCCACCTCCCGCCACACCTCCTCTACCTCCTACTCGCGCGCCGGGCCCTCCACCTCCCTCTCCGCCCCTCCTCCCTCAGACGTCTCAATCCAAATCGGCACGCCCTCGTCCTCCTCCTCCGGCTTCCAACCCAACTCGCCCTATCCTAACTCTCCCTACGACGCACGGACGAACCATGCGCTGAGGGAACACGATTTCTTGGGACAGACGGGCGCGGCGTTGGACGGGTATTTGGCGCAAGGGCAGGCTGTGTTGGGCAACTTGGCTAGTCAGAGGGACGTCTTGAAGGGTGCGTCTCCCCTTCACTTTCTCCATCTCTCTTGACGGGTATTCACGCGGAGTTGCGAGGGGGGCAAAGGCACCCAACGCCGCCTCCGCTCAGCAGCCAACACCCTCGGCCTCTCACGCTCGACAATCACCTTCATTGAGCGCCGGACAAAAGAGGATTGGTATGTTCTTGTGATTGGAGGCGCGTTGACGCTGGTGGGGATGTGGATGATCTTGAAGTACTTTGGGTGAGCGGGAAGGTGGAGTGGAGTGAGGAGGGCGTTGGGCGTGCTGTAACGAGCTAGTTCGTGTGCTCTCGACGTAGACTGGATACGAGAGAGACTCGCCCGGCCACGCAAGCAGCGACGAAGGAGTCGAGCAACCTACTTGTCGCTCGCTCGCCGGATTCAACGCGTCCCTACGACCTCGCCACTTCCGTTCGCAAAGTCTGACATGCCGTCTCGCAGTCCCTCGACCTCTCGTCGCAGTCGCCGTCGGTACTGCCAAACTCCTTGCGTTGCGATCTTCGTTATGTACAACCGCCTCCCCCTCCATCTCTCGCTTCTCCTTGGCTTTGTCCCGTCTTCCCGCTCGTTCCTTTCATGCGGGCGTCTTCTTCTGCAACTGCGGCTGGTCTGACGAAGCCTTTTGCGTAATAGGCGGCTTGAGGGGATCTGTCCCTCCCAAATCCCAGCGTCAGCTCCTCCCTCTCCCTCTCCAAAGTAAATCGAGAGACGTACCCTCGGTCTTCGCACTCTTCCACCACACCGCCCCTCCACCCACCGCCAGTGCCGCGGCCAACACAATCTTCATCGAGTTGTCCTGCGCCTTTCCACCGAGGTCCTTCGCTCCGTCTGCGATGGGTTGGGAGGTCGAGCCGCCTACTGAAGCGTAGGTGCGGCGGGACTGTCCGACGCGAGGGGCGTTAGTGGGGAGAGAGGGAGGGAGGGAGGAGGAAGCGGGGACGGACGAGTGCGCGGGACGAGAGGAGTGTGGTGCGCAGAGTTGGGGCGAGCATGGTCATTGGACTTGCGTCGTTTGTGAGCGTGTGAGAGAGTAACAAAGACGAAGGAAGAGCGAGAGAGGGCAGACGAGCGAGTGAGGTCAGTGCCTCTGGTCGTCGAGCCCGTCAGATTGAGAAGGCCAACGTCAATCCCCTCTCTCTCTCTCGTGTGCATCGTAGAAGACAGCAAAACACACTTCTATTCGTGCAATAGATGGACCATACGCAGAGAGAGAGAGACCGACAAAACCGTGAGAGAGGAGGAGATGACGAACGCAGAAGTCTAACTCGTCCCTCCTCAGGCAACCACCTTCTCTCCCTCACCGTGCGTCCTCTCCCTACTCCTACTCTCCCTCCTCCTCGTTCCCTGCCTACTCAACACCCTCTCATCATTCACCTCCGCCCTCGCCAACTCAAGCAACCCCCCGAGGTCGCGCGGGCCCGTGAAAGTCTTGCGGCCTTGGAAGAGCCAGGTGATGAGGGAGAGGATGAAGACGATGCCCATTACGGCGACGGCGTAGTCTGCGTGCCGAGACGAGCGGGGCAAAGTCAATTTCCGCCGGTACATAAGAGGAAGGAGAGGGGACGCGGAACGCACTCATGCTCGACCCAGTCGGCTTCGCCTCGGGCGGGAACAAGAAGAACACAGTCGTCATAGCCGTGAATGCGACGGCGACGACATTCGCGACGGGTCCGAGGATCGGTCCGAGCGTCCAAGTTGGGCTCGGGAAGGATTCCGGTCGGAGGAGGTGGCGGCCTCGGGTGAGGAGGAGGAGGATGGGGATTATGTAGGAGATGTTGAGGAGTACGACCGAGACGGAGAGGATGGCGTTGAATGCGGCCGAGGAGCCAAAGTCTGTCCACGCCGTACCGTACCGTCGTCAGCTCAGCCCGCGCGAGGAAGGAGGGAGAGCGAGAGCGACGCACAAATGAGCGCAAAGATCTCGACCCAAGCCGCAACGAACAAGACCGCGCGAACAGGCACGCCCGTCTTCGGGTCCGCTTTGCCAAAGAAGCCCGAGAACGGCAAGCCCTCGTCGCGCGCAAACGCAAAGACCTGACGACTCGCCGCGCACAAGATCCCCTGCGCCGCAAACTCCATCGACACGAGCGGGAAGACCTGCAAGCAGATCGATCCGGCGACGTTTCCCGTGGCTTGGTAGATGGTCGCCAGGAGCGATCCGGCGGTCGAGGTGATTGCGGTTGCGGGGTCGCGCATGACGAACAAGAGGGCGAGGAGGAGGACCCAGGACGAGCCGGCGCCGATGCAGACTGCCGCGATCATGGCGCGCGGGACGTTCTTGTGAGGTTCGGGGATCTCTTCGACCATGTGCGAGAGGGCGTCGATGCCGATCAGGCCGAACGAGGACTGGAGTAACCCGAGGATGAAGGCGATGCCGCTGCGCACACCGATCCATCAGTCCTGAACCATCAAGCACTCGAGACGGAGGAAACACGCACTTGGGGAACCCAGTCTCGTTGATGAGCGTGCCGAAGACGTACGAAGCCGACTGGAAGTTCGGGGCCGAAGTCGCGAGGCAGACGATGAGGATGACGGTTGCGCCGGCGAGGGACCAGATGATGGCGGCCGAGTTGATGAGAGGGAGGAGGCGCGAGCCGTAGATGTTGATGAATGTCGCGATGACCTGCGCACGGGCGCGTCAGTGCTGGCGAGAGGTGCGAGTGAAGGAGGTGCACGCACGATGAAGCCGGTGTAAATGACAAAGGTCTGCGAGAGGAGCGCAAGTCAGTCAAGTCGCCTCGAGGAGAAGAAAGCTCGACGGCGCACCTGATACGGCTGACTCGCAAACTCTTCATGCGACAGTCCATACATCCCCAACAACAGCGCCGCCGCCAAACTCCCCGTCGTAGCCGTGAGCGTAACCCAACCCGCGCACGCCAACCAGCCCGTAACCCAGCTGATTTGGGGAGCCCAGGACAAGGGAGCGAGGATGTGCGACATGTGGTATGGACCGCCGGAGGTTGGGAATACGTGGACGATTTCGGCGAGAGAGGCGGCGGTCGCGAGGTTGCCGATGAAGGAGACGCAGAGACCCCAGCTGCGAGCGCGAGGCGAAAGTCAGCGGGTGTTCGGTTGGAGGAGGCGGAGGGACGCACAGCATGGCGACGGGTCCGCCGGAGGGAAGAACGATGCTCAAGGACGAAGCCATGGCGGTCCACGAGTTCCTTGCGAGCGAGGAAGCGAGAGGGAGTCAGTTCGCGGGAAACAGGACGTCGTTCTGCGCCGCACTCACAAGACGCAGTACGCCAACCCGATCAAGGAGAGCATGGAGAAGTTCTTGAGCTGTCCACTGCGGGTATTCAAAGGGATGATATCAGCCCATCAGTTCGCACGGACTGGGACAAGCTCTCCGAGTACGCACTGGTTCTGCTCGTGCTTGGTGACCTGGTTGATGGTCTCGTGCGTGTAGTGCTTCTCTCCGTCGGTCGTGGTGCTGCCGCCCTTCATGGGAGTGGACGCCTGGATGGACGAGGCAGAGTGGACGCTGGTCGGCCTCGAGGCGAGGTGGCGCTGAGGAGCGGGCGCCGTCGTGGGAGTAGCCATATCCTGCGAGTCCAGTACAGTCTAAGCGATAAGCCCCACTAGCACAAGGCAGAGAGTGTTGTCGGAGAGGGAAGAGGAAAATCGACAGAGCGCCCCGGCCTCCGCTGCAGGCGCGAGAAAACGTTTTCCAACGGGACCAATCCGAGGCTCCGCATCATTTTTAGCTCACACGAGTGGTGCCAAATGTCCGGGCGCAGCTTCGATTGGAATGGGCGGCTGTTCTTTGGCGAGCCGCGCTTCGACGGCGGACGGGCTCGACTGGTCGCTGTGAGATGTGAGGAGCACCAGCTCACAACGAGGGGGATCAGCCGCAACCCGGACTTCCCCAGTGGCGAGATAAGGACTGCTCCCTCGCTCGCGAACGAAGGAGGGACCCTTTCTCCAGCTCGAGTCTTACTGTCTGCAGCCGCCGAATGTTCCCGCCCGTGGACTCATTGCGAGAATGCGAGTTGCAGAACGGAACACGCGAGTTTCAGCAGATCCCGGAAGGTCCCTCCGCCATCCCGTTCAAGCGCAACGCTTCGCTTCGCTTCTCGACGGCAAAGGATCGTGGGACGAGCGAGCGTGCAATCTCGTGGGGGATTCGTGCTGCTCGTGCGGAGTCGGGGCGTACAATCTCTCCGGGGCCTCCTCCTTCACTCTCGCTTCTCCTGCTCCATCCGAGAGGAAAAAAACCGCCTTCTCGATAGCACCCCTCCTCGCCTCGCTAACGCTCGTCTCGCTCCTCGTCACTACTAGTCGTCTCGCCGCTATCGTAGTCCGGAGAACAGGTACAAGCGCGCAGGTGGCAGCGGGCTAGGTCGATTCCTATCGCCGTCAGCGAGGGTGGGCGAAGGAGAGGGAGTTGGAGCGAGTGAAAGGCGAGTGAGGAGGGTGGAGCGCGAGGGGAGAGGGAGGGAGAGGAAGGTGGGGTGAGGACGAGCGAGGGCGCCTCGAAGCTGGGAGAAGAGGGAGGCGAGGACGAGTCGGTTGTCGCGCGCGTGTCGGACTCGTCTTCGACGCCGTCGTAACGCCGCACTGCCTCGTCCGTCCCGCAAGTCGCAAACACCGCATAGACGACCACGAGCGACACTTGCGCCTTCGCTGCTCCGCCTCCTCCTCCTGCGAGACGTTTCCCACCCTTTGCAGCGAAAGTCTTCCTCCTCTTAAGCTCGACCGGTCGGGAGTTTGAGCGCGGCGAGCAGGTAGAGCTGGATGAGGCGGTCGAGAGGGGAGGAAGCGGTTCACTGGACGAGCGGAGCAGGGTCGGAAACGACTTTTCGGGTGCGCTAGGGCTTCGAGAGGCTGTAGAGCGGGTGAGAGGCATCGTTCGCGTCGTGAGAACGAGCGGCGGGAAGGACAAGAGGTGGAGATGAGCCTGCAAAGGAGGGAGGGTCAGGGTAGGACGAAGAACGAGGGTGCGAGGGGGGACTCACTTCGTTCGGAGCGGGTCTGGCGGTGCAGCAGGCGATTTTAGCATCATTGGAGAGTGTGTGAGAGTACAGGCGCAGCATCCGAGCGCAGCGTTGAAGCTCGAGTGGCTTCATCGCCTTCGAGGAGGACGAGCGAGGACAGCCAGAGCGCAACGGCATGGCGCGAAGCCGGACGCGTTCGAGCAGGACTCTAGAGCGACAGTAAGCATCCTGCGCGGTCGAAACAAGCCCATACGAGTGGTGAGTGAGCGACACGCTGCAACTCCTCCTCGACGCCTCTCTCCTCCTGACCGTCCGCTCACCTTTGCTCAAACTCGCTCGAGGCTGTTCGGATCAGGCTCACACGCACGAAAGACTGCGACCACGATGCAGACCGCCCCGTCCGTGCCCGACTCGGCCATCACCCTCGTCCCCCTCACGCTCGACACGACCCCCCTCTGCGCCTCGCCCATCAACCTCGGGCCCTCCGCTCCTTCGTCCTTCACTCCTGCGGACCTCCAACCGCTCAACGAACTCGCCCGCGTCCTCCTAACAGCCACCAATCCCGCGGTCGTCTTCCCCCCTCCGCCCCAGCCCGTTCCGAACAAACGCAGCGTCGAGATCGCGAAAGCGAAAGAAGCAGGGAACGCAGCTTTCAAAGCCGGAGACTGGGGGAACGCAGTCAAGCTCTACACTATCTCGGCAGAGATGGCGGCTAGCAGGCCGGTTTTCGAGGCGAGCGTGTACGCGAGGGACGAGTTGAGCCTCGCGTTGTGTAACAGGAGCGCGGCGTACCTCGGTGCGGGGGAGAACGTGAATGCGCTCGTGGATGCCGAGGCGGTCATTCAGCTCAAGAGGCCGTGGATCAAGGGGCACTTCAGGAAGGGAAAAGCGCTTGCGGCGATGGGCAGGCTCGAGGAGGCGAGGGAGGCGTACCTCCTTGGTTTGCAGTTTGATCCGACCGCAGAGGTGCGCCCGTATGCCTTTCCTTCTCGACGAACGAGCGAAACTAACCCTTGCTCGCTCGCTCGCTCGCCTCGCAGGACCTGCATCAAGCCGTCAAGGAACTCGAGGAGCAGCTGCGACAACGACAAGCCTCTCGCAAGACGGACGAGAAGACTGCCTAGCCGCCTCTCCACGCAGTTGTAGACACTTTTCGCATCCGCCGTCCTTCGCCTTGTTGTAACGAGTACCTTCTCTCGCTTGACGGTCACTGAACGAGAAACAGTCAACGGTGAGTGCACAGAGAACAACATTCCTATCTACGAGCAGCCTATGTACGTTTCTTTCAAGGCGAGAGGGAAGTCTAGGGAGAACACGCGCGCATCTATCGTCGCTTCTTCGCCTCCTTGATAATCTTGATCGCTTCCTCCGCTGCAAGCACACAACACAATCAGTACCCCTCCCTTCAACACGAGAGAGAGACGAAAACGCAAACTCACTACACTCAGCCCCGTGCCGGAACAACCTCAACTTGACTTCCTTCGGCAACAACCTCTCGGCGTCCGCAACACGCTTGTAGAACGCCTCGACCGCCGCAGGGGTTCCTTGTTCGGGTCTTGTCGGTGGCGGAGAGGGACGGAGAGGGTTGTTGGGTGAGAGTGCGTCGGAGAAGGGGTCGTCTGTGAGGGCGAGCGGGTCGGCGGGTTCGGAGCGCGGTGTGGAGGGGGCAGAGGAGAGAGCCGAGCCGCGGGTGGGCGAGGAGGCGCGAGATGAGGTGGGCGAACGGAAGACGTTGAATGGCGAAGACCGTGTTCGACCGCCCATCCCCGGCCGAGTCGGCGTGCTCGGCTCGCGCCCGCTCGTCTTGAGCGTAACTTCACTCCCGCTCGTCCTTCTCACCGGAACAGGCCGCTCGTGCGACCCATCCCACTGGCCCGGCAAATCAGGCATCTCGCTGAACGGGCGGTCGTCCGCTCCGTGTTCAGCCGAGAACCGCGCCTTCTCCTCGTCGACGAGACTGGCGAGGTCTGACGCGGACTGCGAGTGGCGCCAGCGGAGTTTGGGCGGAGCGAGCGGCGTCGAGGGAGTCTCGGTCGAAGCAGCGGGATCAGCGACGGGCGTTGCGAGCGAGTCTGCTCGTCGGGCTGATTTGTAGGTCGCGTAGGAGACGGCTGGCTCAGAGCGCTGAGGAGTGAAAGGGGTGGTGACATCGCGGATGAAGATGGCGAGGACGTTCTGCGGGTACTGCGAGGCGAGCGAGCGGTACAGCTCGAGGTCTTGCTCGCCCGAGTCGCCGATGAGGAGGAACCTGCGCAGTAACCGTGTGAGGCCCCTTGACGCTTCACGTGGAAGAAGACACGAACGCACTGCGATTCTGGGAACTCCTTGAGGATGGCCTCGACGTTCGCTCGTTTCCTCTGGCCCGGTTCCTCCCACAACTTGGCCAGCGCGCTACTCGCACCTCCATACTCCTTGAGTGTGCAACTCCCGCCTGGGAAGCCCGCCATGACGAGAAACGACCTGACGACCGGCCAGAGCTCCCAGGGCGAGTTGCTGACGTAGTGGAAGTGGCAGCCGAGGGTCTGCATCTGTTGGTACCACGACGCCATGCCGGGCACGCGGATCTCGTACAGCTCGCGGACGAAGACGTTCCGGAAGATCGTCTTGGTGCCCTTGAGCACTTCCGTCCACTGTCGACCGGTCTCGCAAGGTCAGCACGTCTCGGCCAAGGAAGCGAGACCGCGAGCGCACCTTTATCGTATCGTCGACGTCGCTGACAACCCTGACACCGCTTCCCGCGCCGCCGTCGCCCTGGATCGCCACACCCAGCTCGACCTCGTCCTCAGCCGTCGGTTTCGCCTGCGCATACCCTCCCCCTCCGCCCACACTCGCCGCCGCCCCCGCATTCGACCACGAATCCGCCGTCGAGACGCCTCCATCAGGCTCGAGCAACTCCGCCACGACCCTGACCTTGAGCTGGTCCATCCCGCCCTCTCCACCCGGATGCGGCGCAGACCCAACAATCTCCAACCACTTCTTCAGCTCTTTCCCACCGACACTCATGCGGGTCCTGAATCCTCCACCGGGGGCGACAGTCGCCACGACTTTCGTAGCGAGCGCTCCGTCCCAAAGTTGTCCGCCTTTGAGCGCGGGGTAGATCGAGATACGGACTTTTCGAGCGGCGAGCTTCTGGCCGAAGAAGGGGAGGAGACGGGTGTGGAGGTTCGTGTGTAGGCGGGGGAGGTCGGCGGGTGAAGAAGGGAGGGTGAAGGGTTGAGGCCAGGCTTCGGGCGGAAGAGCGGAAGAGGCAGAGGCGCGGGTAGGCGAGTTGGCACGCGAAGAGGCACGGGAGGAGGCGCGCGAAGAGGCGACGGACGAGGTGGCGGACGAAGCGCGCGAGTGCTTCGAGTCGCGGTCCTTCTTGCCGACGAAACCGAAGGTCGCGCTTCGCAGGCCGGGAGACTTCGGTGGCGGGTGCGTCGCAGAGGAAGGCGAGCTCGGTACAGATGGCGAGCGCAGAGCCGAGATGGCTTTGGCCGGCCCGCCCAACTTCGATGGCGGTATCTCGATGCGGACGTGAGGGCGACGGTTCAGCTTGGCGGGTGTCGGGAGGATTTTCTCATCCTCAGGCGAGCGCGATGCCGTCGGAGGAGCAGTCGAGGCGTGCGCGGGATGGGGAGGGTCATGAGGCGGTATAGGATGCGCCGCATCCTGCGCAAAGCTGGCAGCGGTTGGACTGCGCATCTTTTCCTCAGCCGACATCTCGCTCGGCTCGTCCGTCAACTCTTTCCCCTCGACAGCCTCGACTGCCGCGCCCGCCAGCTCGTCCTTCGCATCCCGATCGTCACTCCGCCCACCTACCTCGAGCAACTTGTCCATGACGCTCGGGTCGTCGATCGCGACGTCTCGCATGCTGCTGTCGATACTCGCAACCGACCCGAGGGCGACATCTGGCGCGACTGACGGAGCGAGGTTGGGCGGGATCTTGGGCAGGGCGGCGAAGGATTTGGCGAGGGCGTAGAAGATGCGTTGGGAGCGCGAGGCTTGGGAGAGGGGACGTTGTCGGTATGCGTAGCCGTGTACGAGGACGTCGAGGACGAGAGCGGGTTCAGCGACGTCGTGAGGAGCGGGTTGGAGCGTTGCCCACTGCGAACGGGGCGAGCGTTAGCGTATCTGGTCGCTCTTCGAGGAAAGCGCCACGCACTCCTGGAAAGCACACGATCCGTTCTTCGTCAATGTCGTCCGTCAAGAGCGCCTTGCCCTTGCCCTTTGACGGCGTCCCCGTCGCGCTGCTCGAAGCGGTCGCAACAGGCGCTGCGTTCGTGCTAAAGTAGCTGCCAATACCCGCCGCCCACTTGCCCGTCCTGCTCTCTGTCGGACTACCCGGCGGTGTCATCCCTCGCGACCTCATCCCGCCCGACGCAAGTGAAGGCTCCGCAAACTCTCCCTGGACCTGCCTCGTCCTGAGCGCCCTCTTCGGCGGGGCGACGACCCTCTCCTGCGTCGCCCAATTCGACTCTGTGTGCCCTCCAGCACCCGCACCGTTCGCCTGCTGCTGCTGCGCGTAGTACGCGTCTTTCAAATTGGCGAGTTTCCCAGCAGCCGACTCCTTCGCCGACTCGAGCCTGGGTGAGACGAACTCGCTCGTCTGCGATGCGAGTTTGTTGACTTTTGCGAGTGCGCGTGCGCGGAACATGGACGAGGAGGAGGACGACGACGAGGTCGAGGCGAAGTGCGAGGTGGGGAGGGAGTCGGGGCGCGCGGCGGGAGGAGGGCGGCGCGGCGGTAGCGGTGGAGGAGGCTGCGGCATCAGTCGCCGCACTGTTAGACGGGCCAGTCGAGCAACAGCGCGGAGTCAAGCGAGCGGGTCGAGGTGAGGAGGACCCGGTTGACGCAGTGCCCTTCTCCTCCTCACCGCACCGCTTCTTCCGGCTCAATGAGCTCGTAGACCTCGCTGGAGATGCTATTCGAGCCGGTCTAGCAGGACGATGCCGCCCCTGCGGCTTTGTGGCCGCACTCCTCCTCGTTCGCCGATTCTCATCATTGTGACGGAGCCGAATCACGACAGCTTCGTGCGGGAGGGGTGGCAAAGGCTGCAGGATGGCCTGTGATCATGTCAGAGACGTACGACGACGCTTGCGAGCCATCGGCTGCGACGCGACCCGGAGGCGGCCTCCACCAGCCGCCAGTTGCCGCGACGGCTCTCTTCCTCGCGGTCCTCACGCTCTCTCTCTTGCTCTGCCACTTCTTGCTACCGCTACAGTCAACCAGCACAGACTTTTTGCGTCCACCCAGACAGCCAGCTCGCGCCCGACTGACACCTGCACCTCCGCCGACTGTGCTCACGATCGCGACTCGCGGGCGGCTCAGACGAGATGGTCGCACCGAACACGGCGCTGGAGAACGTCTTTGGGACACTGGGAGCAGTATGCTGGTCGATCCAGCTCGTCCCGCAAATCGTACGTCCCTTCCGCTCTTGCCGTCGGTCCAGGCTAACGAGTTCTTTCGCCTCGCAGTGGAAGTCCTGGCGGAAGAAGGACACGGCGGGGTTGTCGACGGGAATGATGTTGATTTGGTTCGTTTCGGGCATCTGGCTCGGAGCGTACTGGTTAGTCGCGCTTGCAGCAGGTCCTGTGAGCTTCCGAGCTGACCTTCGCCGCCTTCGTCTCGCGTAGCTACACCTCCGGCCTCTCCGTTCCCCTGGTCGTACAGTGCGTTCCCCTGTCCCTCGATTCTCGCCATACTGAGTCTCAGACCCGGCATCTTGACCCAAACGTCGCGCAGACCCCAAGCCTTCTGTCTCTTCTCCGCGATCGCCTGGGCGCAATGCCTCGTCTACGACAGCAAGTGGAAGACCTGGAAGGCTGTCAGCATTGCCACCTTTGTCTGCGCTCTGGCGGCCGGAATCGAGGCGGCATTGATCTTTGGGACTAAGGTGCGCAAGAGCTTGTCCTCCCCGACTCTCCGCCTCTGATCTGACCCGCTCGACACGCAGGCCCTACAAGACCGCGGTAACAACAAGATGAACCAAGCGCTGGGCATCATTGCCGCCGTGTTCATCGTTGCTGGCCTCCTTCCCCAGGTCCGTCGCCTCCCTCCCCTTCTCCCGCCTCCCCACTCACCCATCTCTCATACGCGCAGTACTGGGAAGTCTACAAATACCGCGCCGTAATCGGCATCTCCCTCGTCTTCCTCCTCGTCGACCTCCTAGGGGGAGTCTTCTCCTTCCTCTCACTCGTCTGGACGCCCCCTCCATTCGACACCCTCGCCTGCGTCTCATACTCGGGCGTTGTGGGGTTGGAAATTGGGATCTTCGTGTTGGCGGCGGTACTGAATCCGGGGTATTGGAGGAGGAAGAGGGAGGAGGAGGAGAGGAGGAAGTTGGAGGAGGGGACACTGGCGGCTGGTGAGGGCGAGGTGTCTGGCTCGGAGGAAAAGAAGCAAGTGGGAATGGGTCAACGGACGGATACAGGCGCGACGCTGGCATCTACGTCGGCGGAGGAAGGAGCGGCGGGCGAGAAGGTCGTGAGGACGATGAGTGAGGAGGAGCGGATACAGCGCGAGGCTGGGTTTGGGTGGTTGGGCGAGCAGGAGCATATTCCGCATCCGCATTTGCATCATCACCATCAGCAGCATGAGGCGGTAGACGGGCGGGCGTAGATTTGGTGGGACCTCGCAAGATATCTTATTCCTCGAGTTACGCGTTCTCGCTCGTAAGGCAGAGGCTGTCCTAGGAGACGAGCGCGTCGTGAGCACGGATACTGCAGTGCACAGCAATAGATACGATCGAACAGCCCAAAGAGTCACTCCCAAGTCCCGCTGTTCCCCTCGTCTCCTCTGCTTCTTCAAGTCAACGCGCTTCGTCTCCGTCCTCAAGAAACGCCTAGAGCACAGCCTTGGGCATGCGCTTCGAGGCTTGACGAACACCGAGGTCGGCCAGGACTGCGTGCGTGAGAAGGAAGGGCCGGGTCAACTCTGTCGTCTTTGAGCAGAAGGTGCGACAGCGCAAGCGTACCTTCGTCAGCACCGCCAAGGACGTTGTCGCTGGTAAGAAGAGACACAAAGATGGTCAGTGACGGGAACAGTGAGTCCTGAGGCGACAAGCAAGTCCCTCCTCGCCGCTCCATCGTCAAAACGACGAAAGTCGACGCACAACTTGTACGTGCGCTGATACTGCTCAATCAGCGCGCCCATCCCACCCTGCGTGATGCCCCTGCCTCCCCAAATCTGTACCGCCATGTCGGAAATTTCTTGCCCGCACCGCGCGAGGTAGTATTTGTTCAGCGCCATCGGGCCGGCGAGTTGGGCGGACTGTTCGGCGTAGGTCATCTTGGTCCTGCACGCCTCAGACGTCAGCTCGAAGTTGCGAAGTCCCCTCCTCCTCGAGACGCGAAAACGCACATCTGGTACGTCAAATGCTCCAACCAAGCCTGACCCGAATCGATCCTCGCAATCATCTGACCAAACTTCTGTCGGACGACGGCGTTGTCGATGAGGCGCTTTCCTTGCGACTTGCGCAGGTGGGCCCACTTCCAGGTTTCTTCGAAGACGAGGCGGGAGTAGCGTGCGATGCGGCAGTTGATGACCCAGCGCTCGTGGTTGACTGCGAGTGTGACGGCCCCGACGTCAGCCCACGGCACTTGAGGAAGAGGGAAAGACGAGCGAGACGCACAGTTCGAAAGGATGACCTTCAGCCCATTCCCCTCGCCTCCAAGCACATTCTCCACCGGCACCTTGGTCTTCTCGAAAAAGACATACGCCGTGCCAGCCGAAGGCGAGTAGGAAGTCTTGATCTTGCGCGTGTCGACCGTGTCGGCATCGCGCTCGATGAGCATCATCGTAAGCGATTTCGGGCCGGTGCGGACGGCGGTCATGAAGTAGTCGGAGAAGTGGCCGCTGCGAGACGGGCGAGCGTCAGGACGTCGTTCGACAAGAGGGTGGAGAGAAGAGGAGGAGGAGGACGCACTTGGTGATCCACTTCTTCATCCCGCTGACGATCCAGTACTTGCCGTCCTCGCTCAACGTCGCAGAAGTCGTGATACCCTGCACGTCCGAACCCGCATGCGGCTCAGAGATGGCGAGCGAGATGAACTTCTTGCCGCTGTCCCATCCAGATCGTCAGCTTGGGAGAGGCGGGAGGGAGGAAGGGGGACGCACGCGAGGATGTCGGGGAGGATTCGTTGGCGGAGCGGTTCGGGGGCAAAGTTGAGGATAGGAGGGAGACCAATGACCATTCCTGCCTGAAGACCTGCCATGTAGCCTGGCGCGCCGACGCGGCACATCTCTTGAACGCAGACGAGCTCGTGGAAGTAGTCGAAGTCTTCGCCCTTGACGGGCCCCGGTAACGTCTTGCCGTGCAGGTGGCGTCCTGCGTGTCGGTGGTTCAGTCAGTCCCCTTCACTCGCTCGCCAACGAGAATTTCCGAACGCACCCGGCCCCATGCGCATCGCGTGGATGTTCCACTCGTCGGTACCCATCAATTCGACGAGTTTCTGCGTCGGCCTCTCGCCGCTCAGCTCAAACTCGCGCGCCTCGGCCTTGACGTTCTCGTCGAAGAACTTGCGCATGGCCTTCTGCAGCCTGCGGTGCGAGTCCTTGAAGTAAGGGGACTTGTAACTCGGTACGAGCCAGGAGGGTTCGGCGTAGGGGACGGGACTGAGTTCGCCGTCGAGCGGGAGGACGTATTTGGTCGACGAGGCGGAGGCGGACGAGTCGAGTTTGCCGATGATGAGGCGCTGGTACTTTGCGAGGACCGAGGAGCGGTGCAGGCTGAAGAAGGCTTCGGAGGCGTCCTTGCCGGCGATGTCGGAGGCGAGGAGGACGCCCGCACCGCCAGGGTGGATGTCGGTGAAGCGGCTCAGGCTGAGGAGAAACGGTGTCAGCTCGCGGGTTTTCTCGTTCGAAAAGGGTCGGCACGCACTCGTACACGTCTCCGTTGACGACGATCCACAAGTCGCCCTCCTTGTTGTGCTGTGAGCGAGCGAGAGATGGGCCGGACACGAGTGAGCGGGGGTGGGTGCGAAGTGCGAGACGGCGGGTGTGCGCACCTCGCTGACCTGCTCGAGTGAGAAAGTGCGTGCTGCCATGTCGCCTGTGCGTGTCGGCTAGTCCAGCGAAGGAGCGAGCGGGCGAGGAGAGCGCGACGGAGAAAGAGGACTCTGCGGAGAACCCAATCGGCACGGCGCAACAACCCGGGCCGCCCGGTAAGCTCGACTTTGTATTCGACTAGTAAGGCTTTGTATTACTATTGCACATTAGTTAAAGAGCTACTCCTCCCGGGTAATCCGCCGGATGTCCACGGACGATCCCCTGTAGAACCCTCACAGTGCATCGAGTGCACGCCTGACAATTCCTGTAATCGCTTCGCACGCCACCTATACTTACTCCCAGCCCGCCCCGAGCAAGTTGTCACCGCTCACCTTCGACTTCATCACCGCGTCTCGCTCGCCTCGCCCTCTCACAACACCACCTCCAACTCACACCGCAACGATGGCACGCAGCAAGTCCAAGAAGGTCGAGGAGGAAGAAGAGTGTGCGTACCACGCTCCTCAAACGCGTGCCCGGGGTCGTCGAGCGGGCGAGGGAGACGCGTTTCTTGACGCCCTCGAGAGCGGGGACAAACACGCCCTCGCACGAGACTGACGGGCTCTTTCCGCTCACACAGACGAGGTCAACGAGATTCTCGACCACAAGCGCAAGGTGCGTCTCTCCCTGCTGCTCTCCTCGCCGACCCTGAACTTGTCCCCGCTCATCGCGTCTCTTTGCTTGGGTCCGTTGCGCCGTGCAGGGAAAGACGATGACTTACTACGTCTCGTGGGTGGGATACGACGAGGAAGACAACACCTGGGAGCCAGCCGCCAACTTCCAGTTCGTCCCATCCATCCCTTCCTTCCCTCGCCGCTGACCTTGCTTGGTTGGTTGTGCACGCAGCGCCCCGGACAAGATCGAGGCGTATTGGGACAGCTTGCCTGAGAGTAAGCAGGGTGATCGGCCTAAGGGACTTGGGTCGGGTGGTGGGAAGCGTAAGAGGAAAGAGGAGGAGCAAGAGGACGAGGAGGACAACGACGAGGAGGCTGCTGTGAAGAAGGTCAAGAAGGAGAAGAAGAGCAAGAAGAGTGTGAATGGGGGCGCTGCCAAGAAGAAGGTCAAGAAGGCGAAGGAGGAGCAGCCCGAGGAGGAGGAGGAGGGAGAGGACGAGCCGATTGGGTTTGGAGAAGTCGACCCCGACCGCGAGCTTGTCGAGTACGACTCGGTCGAAATCTTCTCCAAGGAGTCGTGGGAGGTGCGTCCCGTCCCCTCTCTCCTCTCTCCACCTCCCTTTCCTGACTTGCTTCGCCCATACGTCGCAGAAGGAGGACGTCACGATCGAGACGGTCGAGAGGGACGAAGACGGCAGCGTCAGGTGGAACGTCGTCTGGGAGGACGGGACCGCGAGCTGGATCCCCGGCGAGATCCTGCGGACCAAGTGCCCGCAGAAGATCATCACGTTCTACGAGGTGCGTCCGCATCATCCCGCTTCTTTTTGACGGTTGACTGATACAGCTTGGCGGGCGAGCAGGAACACCTCAAGTTCCGCGCGAGGAAGGACGAGGAGGAGGCGCAGGCCGGCGCAGAGGAAGAAGCAGAGAATTGACCTCTTGCCTCGTTCCCCTCCCCCCTACTCTCTCCGCTCGACTACCCTCTCACCCCTTCTCCATACCCGTAATCTCCCCCGCTTCGCTTTTCTCCCCTCTGCGCACTCGCTGCTGTCCTCGTTGTTGATGTCGCCGGTCGGAGACGATTCCCTGGTCGTCTCGCGCAGGTCGCTCGCTCGCTCTCGCTTGTCAATCACAAAACATGCACATATCACAACCTGAGTCGGAAGAATGCGAGAGAAAATGCAATGCTGGTAATGAGGAAAGCAAAAGTCTATAGCGGACAAAGCTGGTCGCACGACTCCTTCTCGCGACTCTCGAGCCCCACCTTGCACATACTGACCCTCCCAAACTCGCTCTTCAACTCCCACCCCTTCTTGCCCTTGACGCGCTCGATCCCTTCGAGCGCGACAATGCGCTCAGTCGACCAGAAAGGCCGAGTGAGGCGCTGGATCAGGTCCTTCATGTCCTTGATTTCGGGATCCGAGACGTCCAGCACCAGCGTCTCCGTGAGCTCGTCGACAAGGCGAGTCGATTCCCTCTGATCCGGGAACGTCGAGCGCAGGTGGTCCGCCGCGTGCTGGACAAACGACGGTTCGCGCACCTTGATGCTCGTCGGTGGGAGGTGCACGCTCTGCGGCAGAGTCGACGCATGCACGCTCGACGGATGCGCCCAAATCGACACGGGGAACAGGCGCCAAACGTATTTCTCCGTCTCGCGCGTCTCGCCCTGCTCGTCTTTGTCGAGCAAGGTGCCGGTTAAAGGAGGGACAACGGTGCGGCCGGATTCGTGGGCGATTTGGAGGAGGAAGGACATGGCGTGTTGCATCTCTGAGGCGGTGCCGCGCAGAGAGACGAGCTTGAGGACGAGAGGGAGCTTGGGGATCGAGGTGGGCGTCGCGAGGTCGTAGGTGAGCGAGGGCTGGTGGAAGCCGAGGGCGCCGGCGATCAAGTCATTCGTGTACTGAAGGCGCGCGGCGCGTCAGCTCGGGTGCACATAAGCGAGAGGGAAAAGGACTCACAACATCGCCGCAGCACAAGCAGTGGAAGTAAAGCGCCTCCTCGCGCCTCTTCTTCTCAAAGTCGAACTGCTTGCGCCCGAGCCTGCCCGAACTCGTCCTAAACTTCTTGACATCCAAGATGCGCACATCCAGCCCTCCATCCCACGGCGACTCAAACTCGACCTGTCCGTATCCCGCTTTCGCTGCGATGGACGGCTCGTTGTCAAAGATGTCGTCGTCGAGCACTGAAGGTCGTTTTGGCTGCGTGTGCGTGTGCTGGAAGTCGCGCAGCTCGCCGCGCGGGTCGATGAGGAGGTTCGTCGAGGCCCAGGTGAGGCGGTCGCGCTCGAGAGGAAGCTCGGCGATGTTGAGCAACTTCTGAAAGAGCGAGATTGTCCTTTGTGTAGGGTTGAAGAAGGAGACGCCCTGCGGAATACAGCTTGTCAGTCCGACTGGCGCGAGACGAGAAGTGTTGCGAGCGAACGCACCGAGTTGAGCTTGCCGGTCGCCCAGCTGTCGGGGATCTGCATGTCGTATTTCGAGAGGTCCGACATCCATGGCACCGGGTCTCTGCAGGCGAGAAGGCATGAGCAAGCGATCAGAGGAGGCAGCAGCGAATGGACGTACCGTCGCAGATAGGTTCCGCTGCGGAGGGTGAATGACCATTGTCAGTCTCGTTCAAACAGGTAGCTCGACATCGACGGAACTCACTCGTCGATCCAGAACACCCTCCGCCCCATCTCGAGCGTCTCGAGCATCCCGCGAATCTTGGCAATCTCATCCGCATTCGCCGCGTTCAGCCCCGCCTTGTCGAGCGGATCGCGCTTGTTACGGTGCGGGACAAAGCCGCCGAATCAATACAGCTCTTTGTCGCGGCGGCAGTAGTCCATGCAACCTTCGTCGCGGCAGAGGACGACGAGTGCGCGGTCGGCGTGGCGTTGGTCGCTGTTCTCGAGGGGGAGAGAGACGTTCGTAAGGCGTGACGAGGAGAAGTACGGAGAAAGGAGGTCGTCTTGCGGGTTGGGCGTGCCGGACGAGGCGGATTGGAGGCGGCGGAAGAAGGTGACGAGGTGAGGAGTCGAGACGCCGATGCTCTGGCTCGTCGCCGACGTGAGCCACAACTGGCTGCCCTTGGTCGAGCGGGAAGGGGTGTTGGCGGAGGGGAAGGCAAAGTGCGAGCCGAGGCGGGTCTTGAGGTAGTCGGCGAGCGAGAGCTTGTACTGCTCGCCTCGTCGAGGTGTGCGAGGGTGGGTGCGCGTTGGCATGGGCACCGTCTCGAGCGAGTCGAAGAGGAGCTTCTGGCCTGGCAGCTTCGACAGCCACGCCGGACCCTCTCCGTCTCCTGCATCCGGACTCGCCGCCTTCGACCGGCCCGAGAGCGACACCGCGACGTTCCGCAGGACGTAGATGACGAGCAGGACGCCCGTGACGAGACCCAGCAGGCGGATCAGGCTCGAGTACAGCCTCCGCCGCTGAATTCGCCCTCGTCCTCCTCCTCGAGGCGACTTGGCGCCAACTCCTGCCGCTGCCTGGCGCACCCGCTCCTTCTCCGCCTCCTTCGGCAGCACCTTGGCCTGTCCACCGCTGTTCATGAACGTCGTCAAGCTCGAAACGCGCTCCATCCCGCTCGACGCCGGTTGTCGCGGTCCGTCTTCTCCTCCGCCAAGATCCAGCGCCGAGTGCATTCCCGCGAAACTCGACCTCCGCCTCAAATGCTGCTCCGTCCTCGCTCCTCCATCGGTCCTCGTCGTCGAATGCACCGAACCCTGGCGAAACGAGACGCCGTTCGTCTCGCCTGCGCCAAAGAGAGGCTTCTGCGAAACTGTAGGCGACGTGCGAGGGTTCAATCCGCTTGATGATAGTCCGCGCGACATCCCGCTGCTGCTCGCTCCGGTTCCGTCATGCTGGGCGTGTCCGTTCGACCGGGAGATAGGGTCGTCGCTGCCTGGCGGAGGTGAAGAGGGTGCCATCGTCGTGCCCGGATCTAACCGCCTGTGCTGCTGGCTGCGCTATGGTGTCGAGTGTCGACTTCGAGAGGCGGTGCTGGTCTCCGTCAAGCGATCGCCGTGCGAGGTGCTGGCGTCCAGAGGTGAGCGAGGAGGAGCAAGAGCGTTCCACACTGCTCTGAAGCCAATCAAGCGTGCGTAGCAAGTGACAAGGATGCAACGCGAGCAGGACAAGCGAACAACGCAGCCATCTTTGTCCTGGCGGTCGAGAGCGCCGCGTCGTCGAGCCATCTCCGCTTTGGGCAATGCGCTCGACGAGGCGCGAAGGGAGCGCGTGTAGCTTGATGGCGAGCGAGTGCAAGGCCAGCGAAGGAGCATGCGAGCAGCGCGAAGAGGAAGCGGAGGCAGTGATGAGGAGGAAACCAGGGGAAGGAGCGGACGACGAGACGGCAACGCTCGATCCGCTCGCCCCTTCTGAACAGGATGAACGGTTTGCAAGGCATGCAGTAAGATGAGAGAGATATGGACGGCAAGAGTACCTGTACACATGAAGAAAAACAAGAAAGAGAGGCGGCGGAAGCACCGCGAGTGGGCGAAAGGGAAGTGTCTGATGTATCGGTGTCGAGTCGAGTCGCTATGCGGCGGCGATGTTGATAGTGTCGAAGCGGTGGACTGTGCGAGGGCGAAGGTCGGACGTCGCTCAGCCCATCAACTCCCTCTCCTCCTCTTCCCACGCACGCCTCTCCCTCTCCTCGTCCGTCACGACCTCCCCAACCTTCCTCCACCCCTGCCTCCCCTCAATACTCCCCGCCACGCCAACTCCCGGACTCGGGCTACGACTCCTTGCCGAAAGCGACGGCGACGCCGAGCGACTTCCCGGCGCGAACGACTGTCTCGGCGCAAGGAGCGCGCCGCCAAGATCGTGTTGCTGTCCTCCGGCAAACCCATTCTGCGGACTCGCCATCGTCGGACTCGCAACGACCGTCCCGCTGCGGGTACGCATTCCCGCGCTCGTCCCGTTCGACGCGAAACTCGAAGCGCGACTCTTGCCCTTCCTGTCGACTCCGCCGCGCGAAGGGGGAGGCCACGACGCGCCGGGGAGGAGCTCCGAGTCGTCCCAGGTTGAGGGGTAGCCGAGGGCGGAGCGGTCCCATGAGCCCGGGTGGCCAGAGTCGCCTTCGTGTGCCCAGCCCATCGAGTCGAGCGTCAAGCCGGCGGCTACGGGCGGCGTCAAGGTCAGCGAGGTCCTCAGCTCGCGGGAACGAGTGCACGCACCGCGAATGAAGATAGTCCCGTCCATCGCCTCGGTCCCCGGCAAGCTCGACGTAAACATTCCCTTCTCCGAATGTCCAAAGTGCGTCGCGGCGAAGAACAGCGACCGGACGACTTTAGTGACGTGCTCGTCGTGGTGATCGACGGCGCTCGCGAGGACCTTCATCCACGGGTTCGCAGCCTCGTCGACGCGCTCGTCATCCTGCTCTTCCTCCTCCTGCGCCGAGCCATGGAACCCATTTGCAGCCGAAAGCGGGTGATCGTCCGACGCTTTCGGCGTCAGTGGAGACTCGACGTATCCCTCATTGAGGACGTTCTGCTTCACCCCGTGAGAGGAAGGCGAAGTCGGCCGCGACTCGTGCGGGTCGTGCTGGTTCGAGTGCCGGTCGACGAGCGCTTCGTCGAGTGCGCGGCGGACGGCGGTCTTGCGCAGACGGGAGGAGGAGAGAGCCGGGGTGGGCGGGCGGGGGTAAGCGGACGCAGCCATGAGGGTCTCGGTGATGTACAGTTCCGGACTGTGCGCGAGAGTCAGTGACGTGCGTAAGAAGGAAGAGCGGGGCAACGCACCGTCCACGAGAGATCCAGTACGCGATGAGGATGCGGAAATGCGAGACGAGGAGGTACGGGCGGAGGTGGGGCGAGATGGCCTCGAGCAGGGGCGGGAGGAAGAGGACGCTCGTCAGGCCGTGCATGCTGTGCGCCGCATTCACGTCCGCGCATCAGCTACTGCCTTGCTCATCGCACACAGTAGGTGAAGGACTCGGCTCGCCCGGACGCACTCGAAAAAGTCCAGCTTGATGTCCTTGTACCCGGGCCTGGTCGCCGCCGCATAAACGACCGTCGCCATCCAAAACAGCTCTTCACACTTCTCGACGCACTCGTCCCAACTCGGCGTGCCCCTCATGCCCCTCGCCGCGCGCTTCCTCCTCTCACTCTGCTCCGCATCTTCCCACCCACTCGATTTCTCCGTCGAGAACTTCCACTCCTCGCACCACTGCACGATCCGGCCTGCGCGGTTCCGCAACACCGCATCGAGCTTGGGCATGTCGGACAGCTGCCCTGCATTGCCTGGGGCGAGCGCATCGTCGTGCAGGATTCGCGCGAGGATCGTGAACCCGCTCAAGCCCTCGCGCGGGTATCGCCGGTCGCGGGGGAGCGAGGCGGCTGTGCGTGCGAAGGAGTCGGTCGGGGAGGCGGTCGGGAAGGAGGTGGAGAATGCGGAGGGGGCAGTAGAGGCGGGTGCGGGGGGAGAGGCGGCAGAGGGTGAGGACGAGTGGCCGTTCGAGAGGAGGCCGTTGGCGGCGAAACGGAGGCTCGAGAAGGCGGACGAGAGGGTCGATTGGAGTTGCGAAGGTTTGGGAGGGCGAGGAGGCCATTCTTCCGGGAAGAGCGAGGCGACGCGTGCATCGTGCACCGCGCACATGGCGAGGCCTGCGGGCGTTTAAGCCGTCAGCTCATCCGCCTCCGCACAATTTCGCGAGCGAGCTCACCCTCTGCAACGTGCTCGTCCAGCCCAAACTCGACTCCATGTCCGATGTGAATGAGCGGGTGAATCGCGCCGCTCACAGCGCGGACAAGCATCTGTCCCTCTCCACCAAAGAGGTACTGCTCGATGACGGGCACGGCAGACGAGGCGTGGCGGCCGTAGTAGGGCGAGTGAGGGGCGGGAGGGGTCGAGATGAGCCGGTGGAAGAAGTTGAGGTAGTTGGGGTAGTAGCTGTGCGGAGACCACGGACAAGCAGGCGTCAGCCATCGAAGGATCGACGAGTGAAGCCTCAATCCGCAACGCACCGCTCGTCTCCGAGGTGTTCAGTCCAGTTCCCCTCGTCAATCTCGACCGGCGCCATCGGCGGCATCGGTTTCTGCGGATGGCTCACATCGTCAGCTCGTAACCCTCGTGAATGGGCGATGAACGCACGAAAGCCGTCTCATGGTGCAGCTTGAGGATATCATCGAGGAGGGCGGGAGAGGCGCCGAGCGAGTAGGCGCCGAGCACTGCGAGTACCAGCTGTCAGCACGTCCACCTCACCCGGACTGTACGGCGCACACTCACGGTGATGCGAGCAGTGGTTGTGGAAGCCCTTGTCGTTGAAAAACGTGTGTGCGCTGCGGTGCCCGGTGAAAAGCGGTCAGGCCGTCCGTCTCGCATGCAGGTTCGGTTGGCACAGCAAGACGCACTGGATGTGGTTCTCCTGTTGGTCGTGAGAACGAGAAGAAGGAAGTCAGTTTTCAGGCCTCGGTGAACCTGGGGAAGAATGCCTCGTTCGCGGGGGAAACGGGTGACGTTCCCGCTTGGCGTTTTCGTGCTTCCACTCGACGAGCACGGCGAGGACGATGGCGGAGTAGGTGGACAGGCAGGAGGGAACAGCCCCACGGACGCACCTCGAGACACCGCCTGACCGTCTCCCTGCTCTCGGCAGTCACTCCTCCGACTCCAGCAGTGCTGCCGTGCGTCGGCGCCTTCATCCCGCCGAAGAGCCTCTTCGGGTCGAGTCTCTGCGCGCGCTGGAGGGGCGTCTCGTGCATGGGGGAGGACGGGCGCGGCGAGGCGGGGTTCGAGGGCGGGAGCGGAGGGTACGAGTGGGCTGACGAGGTCGAGAGCGAGAGGGACGGCGGCGAGTGGATAGTCGGCAGGAGCGAGTCGCTGGGCTTGCGCAGGTGCCGCGAAGGGAACGGCGCCATCGTTTGCGCGGTGTGTGCGAACCTCGAGCGATGAGATCAGGCCAGGGGAGGAAGTACGGGACGCGGGAGGGTGGGAGCGGTACGGATCGACTCGTACGGTCCCTGTGGATCTTGCTGGCTGCAGCACGGGTCAGCACAGCGGCACGAGCAGGTGGACGAGGCGAAGAAGCGTCACGCACGCCCTTCGCGGGGCACAGCAACGGGCGGAGACAGGGGCTTGCTGTGCGCGGGGTCTTCTCTTCTTCACCTGCGTCGTGCGAGCTTGTGGAGCTCTCTGGTCGTCTCCTCAGGGAGATTGAACCCATACCGATGCCGCGCGACCGCAAGCACGACACTGACGACGAGGCGAGCGGTTTCTCCCTCGCACCGACCTCCTTGCGCTCGCTCGCCGCAGCGCACGCGGACCGAAAGGGCGTCAAGCGACTTGAGTTGACGTTGGAGCGCCGCGCAAAGGGTCACAGCGCCTTGCGAGACCCGGGGGAAGGACTCCGCCAAGACTTCGTCTTCCCTTCCTCCCTTCTTCTCGCTCTTGTGGCAGCTTCTTCGCTGGAAGTCTCCTTACTCTACATCTCGTCCACTCTGCGACAAGCAAGTCGCCGAGATCCCGTCGCTCAGACGCCAATCCGTTGCTGACCCGCTCCTCCTCCATTCCACCCTTCCCTTTGCTCTCCCTAAAAAGCTACCGCCGTCCCCGTCGAGGAGGCCGCCTGAGCCCTTTTCCGCTGTGTGGCGAGTTGCAGCGACAGGGCGAATGTTGTTGGTTTGATGGGGGAGGAGGTCAACCTGCCCAGGCGCTCTCCGCTGTGCTTCCTCGCACTCTCGCTCCGATTGGCTATAGCGGCGAGCACACTTGTGCGCGCGATGGCTACGCTACGCTACCTACGGGGCGCCCGGAGCCCAACTTTGCACAAACAGCATCCTCTTCGGGACCTTCGCAAGTCTCGTACCGCAGCGTCTCTCTTCTCAGCAAGTCTCCCACTCTTCCGGCTAGAATATTCAGGCTGAACCCCCTCTGCGCCTCTTGCGCTCGTCAGGCTCCGTTAGCGCATGTCGACGACCCCTGTGCGGGTTTTCGGCCAGTCAGGCGGAGTGCGAGCGATTCTCTCTCGTCGTCGCTTTGTGGTGTGCGACGCCGCTCCATACTCTCTTCTCCTTCAGGCATCTCTCCTACATCACACCCCGTGATGCCCGATTCACGCCGCCCGTCGAACGCCTCCTCGAGCGACTCCTCCTCGACCATCTCTTCGCTCGGCCTGCTCATTTCCGACGACGATCTCCTCGCTCTCGCAAACGACGACGTCGACTTCTGGATGTCGCTGCACATGTCGGAGTACCCCGTCGCGGACCCCACCTCCTCGCTCCCTCTGAACAATCCGCTCTTCCGCCTCCTCCGCGACCCACCCTCGCATGCCGCCAGACCAGCAAAAAACACCGACTCAGTACACCTTCTCCGACACGAGCTGCGCCGTGCGAGTTGAGCCCGGCGTGCGCATGCGGAACTTTCTCCTTGCCCTCCTCCTGCTCAACTTCCTCTCCTCCGCCATCAACGCCGCAGCCAGTCTGGATCCCCCTTCCTCGCCTCCTCAAGCTCGAGTTCCGCCGGAATACGGTCGCAGAGTCCTCGCACTCGCCGGGACTCGTCTCGCCACTCTTCCTCCCGCCAACCCTGCCCGGATCGCTCCCTTCGCTCGTCTCCTCCTCCCCCCCTACCTCCAGCTCTTCCGTCCGTCAAGCCGCTTCTCCCTCGCACAGCAACGACACGCCTCCCGACTCTTTCTCGCCAGGCGAGCCGTCCCCTCGCAAACTCCCCTTTGCGCCTCTCGACTCTCCTCGACTTTCCTACGATCTCGACCTCGACTTACACCTCCTCGCCGGCGTCGTCGCACAAGAGAACCGTCTGCGCCGCGTTGGAGGCCGTCGACGGACGCACGACGTAGACGCGGTGAGCAAGGACGCTGGAATGGGCAGGGTTGAATGCTGGGTCGAGGATCAGCGAGGCAGGCGGGTCAAGGTAGCGTAAAGCTGCGAGTCTAATGATAACCCGAAGCCAAATAACGGATTAGCGGTTGCTCAGCCCGAGGTAGAGACGAGGATGGACGGTTCGTGCTGAATCCTGTCGAGGCCAAGGCGAGCTTCTCCATCCACACAAGCTTGACGCTCGCTTCCGGTGCCTCTGGTGAGCAATGCGAAGAGCATACGAATCCAAGCGAACCGAAAGAGCGAGGAAGCAAAGCGGAAAGCGCCTGGAAAGGTCGACCTCCTCCTCCTCCTCATCCGACAACCATCTCTGGCCGATCCCTTCCTTGTCGCACACGGCCAAGCAAGTCATAGCGTCCGCCTTCAGCCTTCACACAGCCCAGCGCTTTCCCACCAGCATCCACTTCCCATCTCACCTCTCTCACGCCCACACCGCTCGTTCGCACGCTCATGGTCAAACCAACAACACTCGCCCTGTCGTTGCAGCTCGGCACGCAAAGTCGAAGAGCTCATGCCGCGTCCTCGACGGGGACGGCGGTAGTCCTGTAAGGAGAGCCAAAAAGGTCAGCGACGAAATGGCATTAAAGACATTTTTTCGCGGCCGTACTTCTCTGACACATAGATGCCATCTAGGACTAAGCTCGTAATAGCCAGAGAGCGTCGTAGGGCGCGAGCGAGACGAGGAAAAACAAGGCGGAAGGGGAAAAAGGGAGGAGGAGGACGAGGTCAGCGATTTCGTACCTCGACGCCGCCCAAACGTCACGCGAGTGTAACGCACACTTGCGGATGTCCTTGTTGCGAACAAGGGTCTGGCCGTGGATGGACGCGGCCGACTGGGAGACGGCGTCGACGTCGTTGCCCTCGAGGATGATCTCGTCCTTCTGCGCCTTGGACTCGGAGATGGTCACGCCCTCGAGCATCTTGACGTGGCGGACACGCTTCTCGCCCAAGAAGTTGCTGCAACAACCCGCCACCGAGCCATCAGCGAGGCCCCCGAGCGAGAGAGGAAGGGGGGAGACGCACCGGATCTCGACAGACTGCTTGTCACCGGCGATGATGACGTTGATGGGGAAGTGAGCATAGACGAGGCGCATCTTGTAGGCGAAGCCGTAGCGGACGCCCTGGATCATGTTCTCGATCTGGGAGCGGATCGTGCGGAGGCACGCGACGTGCTTGCGGCCGCCGTGCCAGACGACGAGCTTGACGCGGTGGACGGGCTTGAGAGCCTTCTCCGAGGGAGCGAGAACGCGGATCGACATGTCGACGTGCTGCGCGTTCTGCTCGTGGTGAACCGGTCCCGAGAGGAAGCGAAGGCGAGGGGAGAGTGACCACGGCGGGAGCGGCGGAGGCGGCGGCGACGGGAGAGGGTAGCGAACAGGCGTAACATGCAGAGGGAAGCATCAGCAAGCCGCGCTGAGAACGAGAGTAAGGACGATACGGCACCTTCTGGAGGGTACCGCGGGGTCCGGTGACGGTGATGACACGGGACTTGACGGTAACCGTGACGCCCTCGCTGCAGTCGTACGACCTCGTATTAGCCACTACGACCAGAACCACAGACAGGCGAGCGGACGTACGGGACCTCGAGCTCCTCTTCCTTGTAAACTTGCTTCATCTGCGGCACGAGCAACCCGAACAAAGGTCAGCCCGCCGTTCCCCTGATCCACAACCACTCCCAATGTGTTCCTCAGACACCCAGTGAACCCTAGCGAGGCGAGTTGAGCGAGGTCGATGTCGAGAGGGTGGTGGGTGCTCGAAGTGCTGTGGGCGGCCGTCGCTCGTCCTCACGCCCCGTCCAAGCTGCGCCTCCAGTTCCACCGTGCACTATCCACCACACAGTCCTCGATCCCACCCATGCGAACAGTCCACCCGCGCGCGCCGTCGAGCGCCGCGCCGTCCTTCGAGCTTTTCCCACACTGGTGCTCGCTCGCTCGTCGTCCGTTCGAGCTGGGAGTTGGACTGGCGGGGTCGGGCGAGCTGGGAGAATGCGAGCGGGTAGGAGCACGAGCTTACGGCGGCGTCGAAGGAGCGGGTCGAGACGAGGCGAGGACAGCGAGCGCGCCGACCTTCGAGCACAGCAGCTCGACACGGTGGACCCCTGTCTATCTCTTCCTTTCTCTCGCTTGGATGCCGTATGGAGAGCTGGAACTAGCTTATGTGCATTATACTCGCTCACAGCTACATGCACGTCTTTGTCCCTTGAGCGAGGTGTCCTCCTTGTCCTCCTGCACGCGAGCTCACCCTTGTCACCGCCCACTCACGCAGACTCGCACAGACAACCCGTGCAGCCACCCAGAGCACTCGCACACACACGCAGAGAGACGCAGCTGACCCGCCCGAGCCGCCCGCTGCTTCAACCCGTTCGCTCGCCTCTCGTCACGCCCCCAGTCACTCATCGCTCTCGGGAACACCCGCGCGAGGACTGCGAGGATGAGCTGGTACCCTCCGCCTGATCCGTACTACGGCTACGCGCCACCCGCGCAAGCCCCGCCCCCAGCCCAGTCCTACTACGGCTACCCTCCTCCCCCTCCCGCCGCCTACCCCGCCGCCTACCCTCCCGCGCCGCGCTACGACTACCCTCCGCCTCCAGCGGCATACGGCGCGTACCCACCCGCACAGCCGAGCTACCACCACTACTCGTCGCCTCCCCCTCCGCCCGCCCCTCCTCCCCTCAAAGAAGGCGAACTCCGTCCGCCGCCCGACGTCGCCCAAGACCCCAACTCGTTCAGACGGTACTTTACTCAGCAACTGCAGGGATTGACGTTCAATTCCAAGCCGATCATCACGAGCTTGACTTTGTTCACGCACGAACATGTCGTCAGGATGAGCGGGGTTGTTGCGCAGTGCATGGAGGAGCATCTCAGGACGGTGAGTTCCGGTTCTTCTCTGACATCGAGCGCTACGTCTACTCGCAGCGATTCCCTGTGTGCCGTGTTGGACGAAGGTGCCGTGAAGGGGATGAAAACAAAGAGACGATTGGTTTCCTCCGGCGAGCCTCGTATGCGCCGTTCTGCGCGTGTTTGCGATGCGTTCGGCAGCTGCTGCGTTGCGCGAGCACCCCTTGTCCTTCATCGCCCTCCTCCGCTTGCTTCGCCTCGTCTCGACTCGCTCCTTCGCGCTTCATCTCTCGCTCGCTCGCGCATGCCTCGCTCGCCTTCGCTTCGAGTAGCACGCGCAAGTCGTCCCGAGCTGGCGAGTCGTCTCGAGCATGTCAGCGAGGTCGCGGCCTTGCACACTCAGCAAGTCCTCCCCCGTCTCGAGAGCAAGACCTGACTGACCCTCCTTCCCTCGCTCCCTCCCTCTTTCGCTTTTCCCCCGCCGCAGTGCCCACCCCACTACGTCCTCCCCGCCTTCTACCTCCTCGACTCGATCTCGAAAAACATCGGTCCGCCCTACCTCGCCCTCTTCTCGCGCTTCATCGAACGCATCTTCCTATCCGCCTACCATTCCGTCGACTCGTCCACCAAGACCAAGCTCGAGGAACTACTCGGGACGTGGAAGACTGGAGGAGCGGATGGAGGAGAGTTGTTTAGGATGCCGGGGGAGGAGGGAGAGGGAGGGAGAGTGCAGAGGGGGATTGAGGGGGCGATTTTTGGGGCGAGGGGGAGGGGGGACGGGTTGGGTGGGAAGACGAGTAGCGAGGCGGAGATGTACAACGCTGGGGTGCGTTCACTCGTCCTGTTTCTTCCCCTTTACCCGCGGAACTAATGCTCGCTTCGTTTGCCCGCGCAGGTCCAGCAACTTCCCCACGTCGCCACCTCGACCGAGCGTTCCGGCGTCCTCTACGACGTCCGCCGCCTCCTCTCTCTGCGGCAAGACGCAGCCACCACGAACCCCTCGGACCAAATCAACGCGTCGCAGATCCTCGCGCTCAAGAAACTCGAGTCGCTCATCCTCAACACGCAATTGACGACGGAGCAGGTCAATCAGATTCGTGGACAACTTGCGGCGTTGGCTCCCCCGCAGGCGCAGAGGCCAAGCGCGAGTCCGGTCCCGCCTGCTCCGTCGGTCCTCTCGCCTTCGGTCCAGCCTGCGGCCTCAGCAGCATACGCCAACCTTCTCCAGCCTGCCGCGCCCGCGCCTGCTGCAGCAGGATCATCCGGCATCGACCTCTCGCTCCTCTCGAAACTCACGGCCTCAGGCGCGCTCGCGAACCTCTTCTCTCCCTCCGCTGCTTCGACTCCCCCGCCGGGTATCAAAGTTGAAGATGAGGGCGGGAAGAAGGTGAAGGTTGAAGATGAGACGGTCACGAAAGCTGAGAGGGATGAGATGGCGGCTGCTTGGGAGGAGGAGATCCTTCGCTTGGGAGTGGGGCTGACGAACGCCGATCTCGTCGTGTGCGTCTCTCTCGCCCTCCTTTTTCTCCTTTCATACTGACGAATAGCGCGCGCAGGCCCCGCCCACAAGCACTCGCCCTCCTCACCCTGTCCCTCCCTCTCCAATGCAACCAATGCGGCCTGCGCCTCTTCGATTCGCGCCAAGGCAAGCACAAGATGGACCAACACCTCGATTGGCACTTCAAGTATAAGAAGAGGATGAGGGAGGCGAGTGGAAGGGCGAGCGGGAGGAATTGGTTCACCAAGGAGGAGGTAAGTCGCGAGCGTCTTTCCGAGTCAGTGTGCTCAGCCTGGGAGAGGCAAAGCTGACTGTCAGTTTGTGCGCCCGCGCAACAGGACTGGTACTCGTCAGACGACTCTCATGCCTCATCCGCCGACCCCTCCTCCTCCTCACTCGCGCCGACCTCCTCCGCACCGTCCATCGACCGCGCCGCGCTGAAGAAGCACAAAGTTCCCGTCCCCGCAGCCGGAAGCGACGCCGCGAACCTCGGGTTGGGCGACAAGCCGTGCCCGATCTGTCAGGACCGGTTCAAGAGCGAGTGGAGCGATGAGGAGGAGGAGTGGGTTTGGTGGAACGCGACGGTTGTGGATGGGGTGGTGAGTCTTTTCCCTTTCTTTCTCGTATCGAAAGAATCTGACCCTTCGTTGCGCAGCTCTACCACGCGACTTGTCACGCCGAAGCCGCCCTCTCACGCGCCGCCAATCCCCCTCGTACCGCCACAACTTCCGTCCGCACCTCGCGCGAGTCGACGCCGCTCGCTTCTCGCAAGCGAAAGGCCGATAGTGTCGGACCGTCGCCTGTCAAGCAGGAGCACGATGCGGGGGCAGGAGTTGGAGAGTTTGCGAGGGTCGAGGAGGTGAAGGAGGGTGAGGAGCCGGAGGCGAAGAGGATCAAGAGCGAGCCTGAGGTGGAGGAGGCGGAGCAGCAGGCGAGCTTGAGTCAGGGAACAGGAGGGCTGTTCTTGCCTGAGCTTGAGCAGGAGCAGGAGGAAGCGACGGCGGGTGAGGCGGCGGAGGCGTCGACGGCTGCGTAGGACTCTCAGCTATTTCGCAACGATAGACGCATCTAGTCCTTCAGACTGGAGCACGGACAGAGCTGGGAGGAGCGCGGCAGCCGTTGCTACAAGGCTGCACGGATTGCGAAAGTTGTCCTCCCCACCGCTCATCTCGCAGCCTCGCTTCTGAAATCGAACTGGTACCGGGTAGAGACTCAAACTGACGACGTTTCGAGCGCAAAGAGAAGCGAAGGGGAAGCTACGCAAGCCCGAACGGCTTGGGTCCAGGAAGATGGTCGATATCCTCCGACGCGATCATCGACTGCTTCGGGTCGTAGATGACGTCGAGCGACGGGTCCGTGCCGATCATGTTGTAAGGGAAGCCAACGTCGAACGCCTGGACGGCGTCGATGCGGGCGATCTGCTCCTTCGTCAACTTGATCTTGAGCGCTTGGATGTTGTCTTGCAGGTGCTGCAGACGAACTGAAGTCAGCGTTCATTTAGTGTCGAGAGATATGCCAGACGCACCGAGACCTTGCGGCCGCCAACGATGGGGAAGACGTTCGGTGCGCGGGCGAGGAGCCCTGCGAAGGTCAAGGTCAGCGGCGTCTCGCTCACAAGTCTCAAGAGTCGGGCTTACAGGCGAGCGCGACGGCCGTAACAGACTCGATGCCGTGCTCAGCGGCAACCGCAGCGAGAACCTCCGAGTACTTGACCTCGAGATCCGACTGCTTGTCCTTCGCCTGCTGTCCGCGTGCACGAATCGTCTCGCCGCTCGCAAGGCGGTCCTCGAGCTGCTTCTTGGTCATGAGGCGGCCGGAACCGATCGCGCCCCAAGGAGCGAGAGCGAGCCCGGACTGGCGGCACATCGGGAGGATGTCGCGCTCCATGTCGCGGAACATGACGCTCCACCTGCCTTGGTAGATGCTGAAGGGCGTCTTACCGTGGTCGATGGCGTACTGGTTCGCGGCTGAGACGACCCATGCGGGCACGTCGGACGCTCCGAGGTAGAGGACCTTGCCCTGCTCGACGAGGATGTGGAGCGAGTCCATCATCTCCTTGATAGACGTCGTGTAGTCCCACCAGTGGACGTAGAGGATGTCGATCCAGTCGGTCTGGAGCTTGGCGAGCGAGTCGCGGACCGAGACGTGGAGTGAGCGGCGCGAGTTGCCGCCGTAGAGGATCGCTTCCTTCTTGCCCATCGCCGACTCTCTGTAATTGCCGGTATACTTGGTCGCGATGATAAGGCCTGCAGGAAGATATCGGTGAGCGCAGGCGGTCGCAAGCGGAAGAGCAGCACTCACGGTCACGAATCTTGCGCTCCTTCAAGTACTCGCCCAACCATATCTCGCTGTCCTCGCCCTGCAAGTTCTCTGTCAGCGCGTTTCGACTTCCTCAATGAAAGCACTCACCTGATACAAGTTCGCCGTGTCCACGAAGTTCCCGCCTGCCTCGACGAAAGCGTCGAGAAGCTCGAACGCCTGCTCCTTCGTAACCGAGCCGAGCATGCCCTCCCACTTCTTCCCGAGACTCATGATGCCTGTGGGCGAGCTCGCAACCCGTTAGCGCTCCTCACGATAGCGACGAGAGCAAACGCACCGAGTTGAAGTGGAGAGGCTCTGGCGCCGATATTTGGGCCCACAATGCGGTAGCGGGCGAGGGGCGAGGTTGCCGAGACAGCGAGAGTGCGAGCAGCCATCCTGAACAGTTCACCGAGCGTGCGAGACGAGGAGAGAGGAAGAAGAGAGAGAGAGCGTGCATCGTCCTCCACTTTGGGCGGCGCTCCACCAGCAGGAGAGTTGCTGACTGTACAGGATTGGCGATGAACAACCGAAGCGCGAGAGACCCGGAAGCCGAAAACCCGAAGCCGAAAACCCGAAGCCAGGTCCTCGAAGCGAAAGTGAAGCGAGAGAGCAGAGGAGGAATGCGAGGAGGAGGAGGAGCACGCTGGACATGAAGTACTGTTTGAATGCACTACCAAGCAAGACAGCTACCTTAGTGCTCGCAGAGGGAGAAGGGGCGCCTGCATGACCCGTAGCAGGTCAGCGGAAGCTGGCGTCGTGAGTTAAGAAGGCCGACACACTCGAAAACGATGCGCTTGTTCTCGTCGTGCAAGTACTTGCGCTCCTCCATCAGGTCCTCACGGACCCGCTTGGCCTTCCTGAACGACATGTAGTGCGGCGCGGCCTGGCGGAGGATCTTCTCCCAGATCTCATGCGGCAACTTGTCAAGGACCTGCGGCGGGAGGCCCCAGACGGCGTCCTCGAGCCAGGAGAACTGCTGCGGCGGAACGCGCGAGGTCGAGACAACGAGGCCGGCGTCGGTCTTGAGCGGGTCGACGAGGAAGAAGCAGAGGATCTTGCGGTAGCCGGGTTTCGAGCGGTCGACGAGCGAGAAGGGCGAGACGCGGTGCTGGTAGACGTTGGGAAAGACGATTGCGCGGTGCTCGCTTGTGCGCACAGCGTTGTAGTTCTGGATGAGCGGTCCCTCCCTGCACAAAGCGATTAGCGGAGCTCACGTAACGAGAGGAGGACGACGCACGGCTCGATGCCGTACATCTGCTGTACGCCGCGGTGGTCACTCTGGGCATAAAGCAGGCGGCCTTCTGCTGGGCAGAATGCGTCAGTTTTGCCCAAGCTGGTGAGCGAAACACGCACGGTCGAAGGTTCCCCTGAAAGCGAGCGTGCTCTCGCCGATGTTTTCCTGGTCGAAGTAGTAGATCCCACTCGCGACAATCTCCTCGTTCTGCATGCCCTCGACGTGCCAAACGCCACCGGGATACTCGGGCTTCTCGGGCGTGAGGTGGATGCTGGCGAGCTTAACAATGACCTGGAGCTTGCGGCCCTTGAGAGGGAAGACCGGCTCAAACTGGACCGTCGCGGGCATCGAGAACGGCTCCGGCTCGGGCAGGTGTACAGGCCTTTGCGCCTCCCAGCGTTCTTGCTTGTCCCACCACTCGTCACCAAAGTCCGGCATGCTCTTCTCCGCCTCGTCGTGCCAGTGCCAGACGGACTCGAAGTCGAACGAGATGCGATGCGTTGGCGGGAGTTGCAGGTCCGACAGGACGCGCTCGAAAGCCGGGACGAAGCGCTCGAAGATGCCGGCGAGGACGAGGTAGAGTGGCTTGTGCTTCTCCGGGTGCAGGTTGTTGATGTATGACGAGATCTTCACTTTCCCGTTGTGGTTGACTGCAGGAAAAGAGTGAGCAAGGACGGACACGAGAAGACGGAACGGCCGCACCTTCAAAGTCTGCCGGAAGCCACTGAAACTCCTCCGAGCACGAGTGATCAGCAGCCCTCGCCGCCGGAGCCTTGACGAGCCTCGACGAGATTGTTCCCGAGGCGTCAACGTCGTAGACGAGCGTCTTGCCGTAGCGAAGCGGGAAGAGCGACGGGTGGACGAGATCGAGGACCTGCTCGTTCGAACCGGGATGCCAGTCTGGTTCGCCGTAGGGCGGATTATCTTCGAGCTCTGCGACGCCAGCGAGGAGTGCGTCGCGAAGGTCAGCTGGAACAAGCGTGTCCGACTCGTAGATGCCGGTGAAGCAGGCGAGCTGCGGTAGGCAGAGTCAGCTCCATACGTGCCGAAGAGTCGACGTCGTTCTCACTCTGATGCCGTGAGGAGCCTGCTGCGCAACCTCATCGTGCGAGGCGAGCTCGTCGAGGACGTAGTCAATCATATTCTCCGTCAAAGCGGGCATGTCGTGCTTCTTCTTCGGCGCAGCCCAAACGAGCGCCTCCTCCTTCCACTTTGCGCGGATGGTCGGATCGAGATACTTGCGCTGCCAGTCGGGTTTGTTGCGGATCTCGTAGGAGAGCGCGAGCATGGCGATCTCCTGGAGGGTGTACGGACCATCGATAGACTCAATCGTCTCGTCGTTGCCCCAAGCGCCATCTTCGTCCGCAATCTGTTACGAGCATTTGACAATCAGCTACCGCGCTCGAAGCGTGGTGTGCGAGAAACCGCACCTGGTCGAAGGGAGTTGGGAAGGGACGTTGGCCCGGCGGCGCTTCCTCCGCTGGCTTCTGCCAGTGATAACGAATCTTCCGCGGCATCGGCGTGAAGAAGCGATGGTGTTTTGAGAGAGAGAGAGAGAGAGAGAGAGAGAGGAAGCAAAGAGAGGAAGGAAGAGCCTCGCCCTCTCGCTCGCTAGTCGCAACTGCGAGCATGTGATTACAGACCGTCGCTAGTGCTCACACAGCGAAAACTCGCGTCTGCATAACGGAACTTGTCAGCAGGGAAGCGTGCAGAAGGCGGCTGGTCCGAACGCACTCGAAGACATCCTTCGTATTCGAGTCGACAAGGTACTTCCGCTCGTGCATCAGATCTTCGCGAATCTCCTTCGCCTCCTTCAGCGTGAACGTTCCTTCGACCTCTTCCATCGTGCGCTGCCAAAGCTCCGTCGGCAGGCGACCCCTGACCGCCTGAGGGAGACCGTCGAGCTCGTCCGCGAGCCAGTCGCGCTGCTGCGGCGCCACACGCGCGGTCGAGATGACGTTACCGCATGCAGACTCAAGCGGATCAACGAGGAAGAAGCAGAGGATTTTGCGGTAGCCGGGCTTGGAGCGGTCGACGAGCGAGAAGGGCGACACGCGGTGCTGGTAGAGGTTGGGAAAGGCGATGGCGCGTCCATCCCACGTCGCGAGCGAGTTGTAGTACTGGACGCAGGAACCGTCGCTGTACGACGCTGAAGTAAGTGCCGGAAGCGCGAGCGAGTTCGCGAGGGTCCTCACGGGTCGAGTCCCCAGACAAGCTTGACGCCCTTCGTATCGTTCTGTTCGTACGGAACCTCGGATTCTGCTCGACAAGGCGTAAGGATACGTGCGGACAGACTGCTGCGATGGACGCACCGTCGAACGTGCCCCGGAAGCTCAGCTTGCTCTCGCCGATGTTCTCCAGAGCGAAGTAGTAAATGCCGCTCGCGACAATCGCCTCGTTCTGCATACCCTGCGGGAGCCAACACCGGGTCAGAGGGAGGGCAGACAAAGCGGAACGACGCGAACTCACCTCGACGTGCCAGACGCCGCCGGCGTACTCGGGCTTCTCAGGCGTGAGGTGGATGTTGGCGAGCTTGACGATGACGTGCAGCTTGCGGCCCTTGAGCGGGAAGGCAGGAGGCGGAATGACCGGATTGGGCATCGAGAACGGCTCCGGCTCAGGCAACGTGATCTGCTTCGTCTCCTCCCACTTCTCATAAGCTTCTTCGTCCTGCCAATCGGGTTCTTCGCCGAACCAGGTTGATGACACTTGCCAGTCGACAGCGATGCGGCGAGGTGGAGGTTGCTGGAGGTCGGAGAGGACACCTTCGAAGAGCGGGATGAAGCGCTCGAAGACGCCGGCGAGGATGGGGTACAGCCGGGCGTGCCGGACGCGATGGAGATTGTTGATGTAGGACAAGATAGTGACATTCCCTTCGACATCAACTACAGAAGATCCGTGTCAGTGGAGGAGAAGGTGTGGAGGAGGACTGGGTCGCACCGTCAAAGTCGGAAGGTAGCCACGCGTACTTCTCCGACAGATGGTCCCAATGGCCCTTGCTTGGCGCCTCGGCCGTCTTGGTACCTTTTCCGTCTGCCTCGAGCACGAGCGACTTGCCGTAGACGAGCGGGAACAGGGACGGATGAACGAGGTCGAGGACGTGCTCGTTCGAGCGGGGGTGCCAGTCCGGTTCGCCGAAAGGCGGGTTGTTCTCGAGCTCGAGGGCGGCTTGAGCAAGCTCTTCGCGCAAGTTGGCGGGAACAAGCATGTCGGATTCGTAGATGCCGGTGAAGCACGAAGCCTGCGAACGGACAATCAGCTAAGTAACGCCTTGAATTGCCGCGACACACTCACCGCGACACCGCACGTCTGCTTGAGCATCTCGTCGTGCCAGGCGAGCTCGTCGAGGACGTAGTCGACCATCTTCTCCGTCAGGCGCGGCCTCTCGAGGTTCTCCACCTCGCGGTCGTAGTAATGCTCCTCGCTCTCCTCCGGCCGCCCTGCGTACGCGCGGTCCTCCAGCTCCGTGTTGAGCGCTTCGTGCCGCCATTTGGCCCTGATCTCTGGGTCGCGGTATTTCCGCTGCCAGTTGGGCTTCGAGCGAATCGAGTACGACAAGGCCATCATGTCGATCTCCTGAAGCGTGTAGGGCGCTGTACTGGGCTAATGAACGACATGCGTGAATCAGTCTGCGCAACGAGGTTGACGGCCGTGAGGATGGACGCACAACGAAGAAGGGAGTGGGGAAGGGCTTGAGTCGCTCGTTGTCGAGACCAGCAAGTTGCAAGCGTGTCGTCGGCATGTCGTCCTTCACCGAGGTAGCCTTCGCGAATCAGCCAAACAGCGTGCACGACCTCAGCGGAGGGGTGAGGGAGTTGAGCGATGGGGAGCGGGAGGAGAGGGAGGACAATCAAGCAAGCAAGCGCCGCGCGCTCAGCCCGCGTCCATGATCTCGTGAGGCGGCAGAGCAGCAGATCCGGCTTGGCTAGCTCGTGGCGGTGCGAGCAAGTCGTGGGACTGTCGTGGGACGAGGAAGAGGAAGAGCGAGCGGGTTGTCGGCGGGCGGACGGCAATTTGTCAGGCCTTCTGCAGCGACGCAGCTTGCGAGTTGCAGGGTAGTCTGCAGATACGAGAGAGCAACTCCAGGAGGGAAGCGAAGGCACGAGGGAGCAAGGGACCGGATCCAAGTGATGCGCCTCAACGAGCGTTGTTGCGTACGCAGATGCGCGATGCGGATGACAGTGAGTGTACAACATGCGGGAGAGTTGAGCGTCACGCCTCACGCCGCGCCAAAGTCGAGTTTCCTCGCGACCTTCTTCGCGCCAGGAATCTCGTCGTACCCGTCCCCTTTCCGCTTCATCCCGCGCCGCTCCTTCGAGTCCATCGGCGCACCGATCTCCTCTGGCGGTAGTGCGCGAGGGGCGAGTTCGGCGGTCGGTTTGGGCAGCTTGGAGGGAGGAGTTGGTCGAGGTTGGGAGTGGAAGAAGGGGTGGTGGAGGGACTGCGGGCACGATCATGTTAGCGCGTGCTGCTGAGAGACGCCGATGAAAGGTACGCACTTCGCGCGCCGTGATTCGCCGCCGCGGGTCGTACGTGAGCATCCGTTGGAGGAGGTCGATCGCTTCGGGCGAAGCGGCGCTGAACAACATGCTGAGGTCGTTCTTCGGCTTCTTCTCGAACGAAGCGCCGTTGCTGAGCTTCCCGAAGCCCTGTGCGAGTGACGGCGGTCAGCCAACAGTCAACAAGGAGAACAGTCAGGACTCACCGGCCAATCCGCCTCGGTCGGCGTCCCCAGCGCGGAGAAGATCATGTTGAGCTGCTCCATGTCGCTCTCAGCCGCCATGAACGGCACTCGCAGCATGAGCTCGGCGAAGATGCAGCCGGCTGCCCAGACGTCGACGCCGGTACTGTACGACCGCGCCCCGAGGAGCAGTTCTGGACACCGATACCATCTACGGCGTAGAACATAAATCAAGTGGAGCCAGGCAGACGAGAGCAGTCGAGACGCACCGAGTCACGACTTGGCAGGTCATCCGCGCCCCCTCGTCCGCATATTCTCGCGCAAGACCGAAATCTGCCAACTTCAGGACGCCATCCGCCGAAATAAGCAAATTGTTGGGCTTCATATCCTGCAAGCAAGGCGAGTACAGCGGAGTGAGCCATTGCGACCGGAAAGCGGAGGATAGACGGGCGAGACGCACCCGATGCAGGATCCAGTTCGTATGGCAGAAGTCGAGCCCCTTCATCGTCATCAACATCCAGCTCTTGACGTCGGCGCCTTGGAAGACGAGCGCCTTGTCCCGAATGACCGCCTCAAGGTCGGTGTCGAGAAACTCGAGGACGAGATTGAGGTTCGACTTGTTCGAAAAGACGTCAAGGAGCTGGCCCGCACAGCTCTTCAGCATCGTATAAGCCTCTCAGACGATAGAAGGACGCACCTCGATCACGTTTGGATGCCGCAACTCGCGAAGGAACTTGACCTCGCGAATGGCAGACATGTCTAGCCCGTCCTTGAACTGCCCGACCTTGATCTGCAGGTACTCAAGATGATTCAGCTCTGTGCCGGGTTTTCAGACCCGCCTGACGCCGTGCAAGCCCGCTCGAGAGACCTCACCTTCTTGATGGCAATCTTGCGGGCGGTCGCAACCTCCTTGCCCACGTAGACGACGGCGTAGGTACCCTCTCCGACCTTCTTGTCCTTCGTATACTTGCGCTGGATCGCTGCATTCGCTGCTTCGGCCGCCTCCATCGCTTCAGCTTCCCCACCTCGAGTCGAGGCGTGCGAGTGAACGAAGCGGTAGATGGAGCTGCTTGTTCGGCTGGATGGGTTCTGTGAGAGCTTCGGAGAATCTAGCGGGGTAGCACAGGCCGAGTAAGGCGATAGCGAGTGAAAATGATGAAGCCAACCTCGTCGCGAGACGGTTGTCCTCGTCCCGCTCCTTGCTCGCACGATGGCGTTCACTGTGACTGTCGAGCCACGCTCGACGAAGCCGTCGAAGCGCTTCCCTCTCACCGTTCAGCTCGACCAGGACCCCGCGACTGTCGGAGCGCTCAAGTCGGCCATCGCTAGCAAGGTCAAGGTGCGTGCAACGCTTGCGGGAGAGTCTGAGACTGGGCTGACAACTCCATCGGCGGTCTAGCTCGACGTGCACCGCCAGCGCATCACGACTCCCGACAGGAAGTTGCTTGACGACGATGCGAAGCCTCTCGGCGAGTTTGGCGTCAAGAGCGGCGACACGCTGGAGATCAAGGACCTCGGACCTCAGATTGGTGCGTAGCGCGAACATTGAAAGACGGGGGAGACCGCGCTGACCACCTCTGCGATGCAGCTTGGAAGACTGTCGTATGTTCCGGCGTCCGGCTCTCTTCACTTTGTGCCCATGCTGACGGTTCCCTCCTGTTCGGATAGTTCCTGACCGAATACGTGAGTGTCGACTCTGTTCATACAACCGAGCGTACGAGCTGACGAGGACCTTTGTCGACAGTTCGGCCCGCTCTTCATTCACCCTGCCTTCTACTTCGGCAGCAAGCTCTTCTACGGCAAGACCTTTGAGCACTCGCGCATGCAGAAGTGGGTTGTCGGTGTTCGCGGCATTCCGGACTGACATACTGACCTCCAATCCGCAGGGTCGCGCTCGTCTTGATTCTCGCTCACTACGCCAAGCGTGAACTCGAGACTCTCTTGTGCGTTCTTCATCGCGCACGTTTTTGCAGCGATTCCTCACAGCCTACTGCCACAGCGTTCACCGCTTCTCGTCCGCGACGATGCCCTGGTTCAACATCGTTAAGAAGTGCGTTCAGCCTCCTTCTTCGCCTTGGGTCGGCCGCTTACCTGTCGTGTCTGCAGCTCCGGTCACTACTGGGGTCTCTCCGGCATCCTCCTCGCCGCGCCGCTCTACGGACCTTGGAACGGCGCTGCCCGCCTCATCGGCACCTCGCGCGACTCGGACTCGTGGATCTACGGCTGGGCTGCTCTCTGGGCCGTGCGTGCTCGTCCTGCCGTTTCCTGCGGTTGCAGCTGACCAGTCTCGCGCAGTACGCCGAGCTCTCCAACCTGATCACCCACCTCAACCTCGCCTCCCTCCGTCCCAAGGGCACCAAAGTCCGCCAGATCCCGAAGGGCTACGGCTTCAACACCATCTCGTGCGGCAACTACTTCTTCGAGACGATCGCGTGGTGCGCCTTTACGGGCTTGACGCTCAACTGGGCCTGTGAGTCGACGACGCTCTCCTCGACATGACCGAGCATACGCTAGACAGCCGCAATTGGCTTTCTCTTCCGGTCACGCCTCGCTGACTCGTGGTTGTACAGCCGCCCTCTTCACCGCCGTCGCCGTCGCTCAGATGTACGTCTGGGCCGTCAAGAAGCACCGCCGCTACCGCAAGGAGTTTGGCTCGGCGTACCCGAAGAACCGCAAGGGTGCGTCCTCGGTTTCGCCGCAACTGCTCGTCAAGTAGAGCATCTGCTTCAGGCAGCATGCGTTTCGTCGTCGTACGCTGACGACGCCGCTTCTTCTTTCTCCTGCGCAGCCATGTTCCCCTTCATCGCTTGAAAAGGCTCGCTCAAGAACAGCCATCTCCCTTCAACTTCATCATGCAATCGACGAATGTCCAAGCAGCGCCTCACGTGCCAGCAGAGATGGAGAGAACGCAAGCGACTTGGCAAACTAGCAGAGCGGAGGTACAACAACACAACGAGGGTACTACTACTGAGTGTACTGATGCTGCTCGGGCTTGACATCGGTCGGAGAAAGCGGGGGCTGAAAGGCAGTCGCCGTGCCGCCGTTCTCCTCCGCCTTCGACGCCTCTCCCAAGCCATTCGGAAGCCCGCCCTCCTCCTTTCCGCTGCTCGACTCATCCTCCAGGTCGCTGTCATCCGACTCATCGCTCCCCTCTCCCTCGATAACACCCGGTGCCAAACTAGCCGGCAATTCGACCGGTCCTTCCTCCTCGCCATCCTCGCTCTCCCGATCCGACCCATACGCAACCCGCACGCTCTGTACCCACCTCGACTCGCGGTTCGCGCCGGGGAAGAGCCAGACGTGCGAGTGGCCTACTTGTTCGGGATGGATTGAGCTGGTTGAGGGGGTCGTGGCGGGGAGAGAAGGGTGGGATGGTGCGGGGTCGTCGAGCGGTGTGTCGGAAGAGGGAGGAGGGAGCTTGTGTTCGGGAACATGAACGGGCACGCGCGAGTCGAGGTCCCACTGCTTCTCTCCCTCCTCCTTCTTCGTCTCGCCCGCCTCGTCCTGCACCGTCGACTTATCGAGTTCCTCGCACAACCAGCGAACGATGGTGTCGCCGTCACCGAGGAGGCAGACGTCGAAGTTTTGGTGCGGGACTGGATCGCGGTTGATGAGGATTTGAGGGATCGAGTGAGGGAGGTGCGAGGGGAGTTGGGCGACAGGCGAGACCTGCGGGCGCAGCAGTACCTCGTGAGCGTGTGCAAGAGGTACGAGGATTGAGAGCCCGAGACACACGCGCAGGGAAGTCCCCATCACAATCAGCAGGTCAACTTCTTCCCGGTCCTCGAGCAGCCGGTGATCGAAATCGTCCGAGAGTGCCTCCCTACATTCGCATAATCATCGTCAGCGATCCTGTCGTCTACAAGGAGCGCAAGTCGTGCATAGAGCGCCGCGAGGATACGCACACGCAAGGAAGGAACCGCCGACGCACCCAAAGAAGACGATATCCGGCTTGATCAACGCCTTCCCCTCCCACTCGCTCCTCCCCTCTCCGCTATCCTCCTCCTCACTCCCCTCACTCCCCTCCCACTCCTCCCTCCCAACCTTGCGCTTCTTCTTCGGCCTCTCTTCCCGTTCTCGAGCAAGAGTTGCGGCGGCGGCTTCGAGTTCGGGCGTGCAGAAGGGGCAGAGGGGGACGCGGGAGGAGAAGACGTCCGGCTCGATGGCGGTTCCGGGGAAGCGGCGGCGGCAGATCAGGCAGGAGGCGGTCGCGAAGGAGCCTGTACATCAGGAACACCAGGCAGCATGTCAGCTGCGGCTCGGGAGCGGCAGCGACGGGCGACGTGATGGAGCGACGTACCGTGGCAATTCAGCATGCGCTCGACGCCGACTTGTTCGAACAGGCCGTCGATGTTTTGCGCTGCGGACGGGCGAGATGCGTCAGCTCCGGTTCCACGCCTGCTTGTGGTATCGAACGTACTGTAGTTCCTCAACAACTTGCCCTCCATCTCCAACAACCGCACAAACCGATGACACGGGCTCGGCACGAAATTGCTGGGATAGATCTCCTTCGCGAACGAGTAGAAGACGTTCGGGCTGCGCTTGAAGTAGGCGAGGTCGAACATGTCTTGCGGGTCGTCGAGGTCCCAGAGGGAGTTTTGTTCGCGCAGTCGGGCGTAGAGGCCTGTCGGAGAGCGGAAATCGGGGATGCCGCAGGAGGTCTGGCGGGGCGAGAAACGTCAGCTTGATCACGATTCTGCTTATATGGAAGGATTGAGACGCACGGAGACGCCTGCGCCTGTGAGAATGAGAATGCGCTTGCTCTTCCGGATCAGGTCGACTACGTCTTGCGGTGTGTTGTACTCCATCAGCTTGTCGCGGTTGCGCAGGCTGTGTTGTATGTGTCAGTAGCGACTCATGCAGAACGAGACTGAGATGGACGAGGAAGAGATGAAGCGAAACGCACACTCGCGAACAGGCGATCTTGAGCATCCGGAGCTGGTCGTTCATCGGCAGGTCTGGACGCTGTGCACAATGAAAATCGACCAGTCAGGTTCCTCGCTGTGGAGCAGAAACAGCGACAGACTAGGCTGCCGCACGACCTGGACGCACAATCATGACGCCGAACGCGAGCAGGAGGGTCGACGGCGGGACGCTCCTCCGCTCGAGGTACTCTTTGAGGAAAGCAAAGAGTCCTCGCTCCTTGAGGAATTCGTGCATGTCGTCGATCTGCTGTTCGGAGAAGTTGCGTTCGACGGCAGAGACGAGTGCATCCCAGTCCTGCTCGTCGTCCTCCGAGGGCGACTCGTCCGTCAGGTCCTGATAGTTGGGCACTGGTGTTGGGAACGTCGTCAACGCTGGTCCTGGCGGTGCGAGCTGTGCGGCCGTGAGGGGCTGCGCGACGGAGGAGTCGGGATCCATCTCGTCGGCTGCGGCAGCGGGCGGAGCGGGGACAGCGCGGGTCGAGAGAGAGTCCAGCCAGCAGCTGAATGTACCCAGCCAATCCAGCCACGAGCGAGCGAGCAACGAGAGCGAGGGAGCTGTCCTTGCCAACCCTCTCGCCTCGCAACTCTCAACCAGGACAACCTCGCTGAACACGCTCACACTCGCTCGGGGGAATCTGCCAGCAGCACGAGCGCACTCCACAGACCCGACTTGACCCACCCTCGCCTTTCCCGCGCCCGCCTTCGTCCTCTCCATCGCCCACCATGCCTGCTCGCGACGGCATCAACGACCTCGACACGCCGTACCCGGTCGTCGATGCGGACCCGCACTTCAATCGCGTCATGAGCTACATGCGGCCGTCCGAGTACGCCCTGTGGGCCGCGGGCACTGCTGCTTTCCCCGCCGCCATCTACGGTCTCGGTGCGCTCGACTTCATCTCCTCGTCGCTCTCTCGCGCGTGATGTTTCGCAGGGCTGACTGGTAGAACTTGTCCGGTGTACAGAACTCGCCGACCCGTCCAGGCTCGGCCCTCGCGGCCTGAGGCCCACACTCAAGATCGCGACCTGGCTCGGGTTCGCAGGCGGCTTCCTCCTTGCGTACCAGACCACTTCCTGTGCGCCCGTCTCGCCCATTCCTTCCGAAGCTCGTGCTGACCCGCCTGGCCGATCGCAGTGCGCCTTTGGGGCTGGAGGGAGAACGAGCGCGAGCAGGTCCGCGACAAGGAGGAGCTCACGCAGCTGGCCAAGGAGGGCAAGCCTCTGTACGGCGAGAGCGACTTGCCTCCGTACATCCAGGGCGTCGCGCACAGGAACAGCTTGTGGTCGCAGGTGAGTTGACGGCGCAGATTCCTCTCGGCGGGAGTTGCGGGTGGTGGACTCCACGGACGGCTCGCCGAAGCTGTTGCTGAAGTCTTACTGCATCCCAATATCTGTTGCTGACCGTACTTGACCGCCGTCACGCAGATCAGGTTCGGGATCATGCCCTGGTTCAACTTTGTCCAGTGCGTCCCGCCTTTCTCCCTCCTCTCCGCTCGCCCGCTAACCTCTTCTTACGCCCCTTAGCCACCCCTACCACGGCACCGACCAGTCCAAGTACAAGGAGGAGTAGCAAGCGGAGGAATAGGTCTTTCACGCTGGCGTTCTGTAACTTTTGCTCCTCGTTCTGCCTTCCCTTGCGTTCCGATTCAACGGCGCTGCTCTGCGAGACCTGCGAGAGTGCCAAACAAGCTTTTTCAGCCAGTCAAGAGCATGCAGAGCATGTCCGCCCGTCAACCCTGCACCGCCTGCTCTGCCCTCTTCCCCTCCTGCACACCGTTCCGTCTCGATGCTTTGCGCTCACGTCGCCCGTAGAGGCGCGCCACAGCGATTGCTGAGCCATGCAACACGCACGCCATCGCCTCACCGCTCTCTCCACTCCTCCCCATCCACCCTCTCCTCCTCATCTCCCAAACCGCCTCCCACACCAACCTCACGCCGAACCGAGCCGCGGTACAACTACCTGCGCACTTCAAACCCCTTCGACTCCTCTCCCGTCGATCCATCCACCTCCTCCTACCGTTTCGTCACAGCGCGCGACCTAGTCCGCCTGCGCGACCCGCCTACTCGAGTGCGCATGCTCGCGCGGGACTTTATCGATGACTCGTTGTACAACCCCAATTATGGGTACTTTGCGACAAAGGTGGAGATCTTCGATCCGGATGTTGCGAAGATTCGACAGGTGCAAGGAGGGACGAAGGGGAAGGGGAAGGGAAAGGCGAGGGAGGTCAATGTTAGGGAGGACGTGTTGGCTGCTGCGTCACGAGCAGAGGGGTTCGATTTCGGAGCGTTTCGGAATACGGCAGAGTTTGAGGATGAGGTTGCGAGGCGGTATATGGTGTTTGAAGGGCGGGGAAGCGGACATGAGGGTGAGGAGGTCGCGCAGGGCGTGAACGTGGGGACTGGAGTGGGAAGGCAGGTGTGGCACACGCCGACAGAGCTGTTCAAGGTGCGTCGAGGCGCGGTCAACTCGCTCGAAGTCTCGCAAGACTGACGAGCTGCGGGCGCTTATTCTTCTCACAGCCCTGGTACGGTCGCGCACTCGCCCGCTTCCTCTGCGCCTCCTACAAGCTCAACCTCTTCCCCTACCACGACCTAGTAATCTACGAGATCGGGGCCGGAAACGGCACCCTGATGGGCGACATCCTCGATTACCTCGCCGCGCACGAACCGGAAGTCTACTCCCGCACGCGGTACAGGATTATCGAGATTTCGGAACGTTTGCAGGGGATGCAGAAGGGTAGGGCGGCGGCGGGTGGACCTCGGACGCAGGGAGGAGATGCGGGTGCGGCGGAACTGGGGAGGGAGAAGGCGAGGCAGAGGGGGCATGAGGGCAAGGTCGAGATCATTGGGAAGAGCATCTTTGAGTGGGACAGGGTCGTGCACGAGCCGTGCTTCTTCCTTGCCATGGAGGTCATGGTGCGTCGATGCGCTCGTCCAGTGCATTCCGTTCGGCCTCAGCTGATCCTGGCATTTGCCGGCGCGTATCGATACAGGACAACTTCCCTCACGATGTCGTGCGGTACACGACCGACACGCACCAGCCCTTGCAATGCGTCGTCTCGATCGACTCGACAGGCGACTACACCGAGCTGTTCGAGCCGGTCACCGACCCCCTCATCGCGCGCTACCTCTCTCTCCGCTCTCGCCTCCCCTCCGTCCGGTCCCGCTCCTCCCCCTCACCCGCCATCAACCCTCTCCTCGCCCGCTCCCCGCTCCTCCGTTCCATGTACGCGTCCATGCCTTTCGCGCCGAACCTGACTCAGCCCGAGTTCCTCCCGACGAGACAACTCGAGTTGCTCGAGATCCTGAGGGACAAGTTCCCGAATCACCGCATGTTGATGAGCGACTTTTCGAGTCTGCCGGATGCGATTGAGGGGGTGAATGCGCCGGTCGTGCAGACGCGGTATGCGGGAGAGGTGCGTAGGCGCTCGAGCGCTCCTCGGCTTTGCTATTCTCTCGTGAGGGAATTCGCACTGATTATTGCTTCCATGCGCTTGCGCAGACCGTCCCGTGCACGACCTACCTCGTGCAGCCCGGCTTCTTCGACATCTTCTTCCCGACTGACTTTGACACGCTGCGCGAGATGTACGGGCTCGTCATGTCTCTCGGCTCTCCCTCTACGCCCGCACAAGCGACCCCCTTCTCCCCCTCGTCGAGCCAGCCCGCTCCCGCCTCTCTGCCAACCTCGCCCAACTCTGGCCTCTCACCCGACTACTTCTCGCCCTCGTCGCCCTCCTCACGACGCTACGGCGGTGACTCGACCGGACTCGGGCCCTCAGGACGGTCGCTGCAAGTGGTCGACCACGGCGACTTTCTCGAGGAATGGGGCGAGACGGACATGACGCGGCTCGGGGACGGGTCGAACCCGCTGATAGAGACGTACCAGAATGCGAAATTCATCTATTGAGCGTGCCCGCGGGTGTTGCTCGCCCCAACGAGATGGGTTCGCCGAGGTGACAGGGAGGATGCTCGGGCGGAGGACGGTGAAGAGACCGAGAGTTCGCCTCGTTCAACGCTCTCGTTGCCCTTGTACGCTTGTGACTGCTGTGGATTGCTCTTGCTTCGAGTGTAGACGGCATCCGGCCAACCCTGCGCGCCCCGCTGTGTCCCGCTCGACCGCTACCACTTCCTCCTCGTCGCGACTTACGAACAGTCACTGTTGCCCGAGACTCAGCCTGTACGTGCGCCTGTCTCGTTAAAGATGCATGCTGCGGATCAGGCTGATCACGTCTCAGTCGCTGCGCATTCAGAACGAGCAGCACGCCGTATTCAACCCCCTCGCTCACCTCGCCGACATGTCTGCCGCCCTGCTCAGCAAACTCCCCCCTTCGGTACTCGAGCGCCTCGTCCCACTCCTCCCCTACCTGCGCTACATCCCGACCCGCATCCCCCCCAGCCTGAAATGGCTCTTCCTCGCCGTCCTCCTCCTCAACATCGACGGCCTCCCCGGCGTCTGGCACATGCAAATCATGTGGCCCTTCATCCGTTTCCGCATACAACGCGCACTAGGCAAGAAGTGGCCGAACTGGAGGGTCGGGAAGGACATGTTTGAGTTCACGATGACGAGGGACTTCCGCGCCACGCCCAACTCGAGCGACTCGTTTGGGTTCCACTTGTCGAATAGCTCGTACGCTTCAACGCTCGACCATGTCCGCGGACCTTTCGCGATCCAGCTCGTCGGCGACGCCTACGGGATCCCCGGTGCGTTCGCCTCTCTTCCTTCGCTTCCGAGCCGCTGGCTGACTTGCGAGTTCGCGTGCAACAGGCATGACCTTTGCCCTCGGCGGCACCTCGTTCGATTTCAAGAAAGAGATCCCGCTCGGCGCGAAATACGAGATCGAGAACCGCCTGCTGGGTTACGACAAGAAGTGGGTGAGTCCGCCACTTTCTCCCCCTCCTTCCCTTTACGTTTCACTTGGCCATTCTCGAACTCACAAACGCTCGCTCGGACAGCTCTACATCCAAACGACCTTCCGCTCTCCCGTCTCCCCTCGCTCCCGCTCCGCCCGCGACCCAACAATCTACTCCACCGCCCTCTCCCGTCTCGTAATCAAGCACAAACGTCGCACGATCCCTCCTTACCGCGCTTTCTCACTCACGGGGTATGGACCGAATGGGAAGGAGAATTGGGAGGTCGTGAAGGGTATGAACAAGAGGGAGAAGTTGGGCTGGCTTGTGGGCGATGAGGAGGAGGGGAAGGGGAAGGCGATTAGGTGTGTTGAGGTTGAGAGGGGGATGGAGAAGAAGGGTGAGTGGCCCGGACAAGTTGCGTAGAGGGTGTAGACTTGCGGGAGAGAAAGGAGACGCTGTATCTATCGCTGCGTTCGAGCGTCCGCTGCGACCAAGCCTTTCTCTTTGTGCTCAGAGGCAGCAATTCGGTCTGCGAAAGCAAAGCGATAGATCTCTTACAACAACAAACCTCGCCCTCCTCCCCTCTCCTCGCTCCACGTCCCCTCCCCCTCCCCCTCCTTCGCCGCAGCAGCAACACTCCAAACCACCCCACCCTCCGTCCCAACCTTCTCACACACATCGTCCAGCGCGCGCTGCATCCGTTCGCGGACTAGGTCGGCGAGGAAGTAGGATGCGAGCGGGGCGGTGAGGGCTGCTAGATGCGTCTATTCTCGCACGCTCATCAGTATATTCTCAGAGGAAGGAGAGGGAAGGGAGGGACGCACCTTGATCCCGTCCAGCAGAGCGTTAACCACCTTCTCACCCAACGCTTTTCCCAACCGACTCTCCAACCGCACCCGAGGCGCAACAGTCCCAAACGATCCCTCGAGTCTCACGCCTTTGTGCTTGTCCCGTCTCGAAGAGGAGGAGGTGCTGGAGTGCTGGGAAGAGAGGATGACACGGCCTTCTTGGCGCGAGAAACGGAGGGGGAGGTGGATCGAAATTCCTTCTTCTTCGTCGTCCTCGTCCTCCTCGAGCTCCTCTTCCTCGCCGTCCTTGCGCTCCACGCCCGCAACGCGCGAAGCAGGCCGACCCGCCACAACCTCCGTCCTCGCCGTCCCCCTCTCCTCAAGCACTTTCAACCCACTAACCAACGCCGGCGCGCTCCTCAACTCTGCACCAACCCGAAACGCAAGTTCGAGAGTCGCTTCGAGGCCTGTGACTCGCAAGACTAGTTCCCTCGCTTCGGTCGTGAGGGAGCCTTCGAGCAATTCCCTCGCGCTCGGGACCAACTCGACTCCCGCCTCCTTTAAAGCGATCCGCTCGAATGAGGAAGAGGTCAGACTGACGGCGGGCGGTCCGCGCGTGAGTTGGTTGATCAGGGGCGAGGAGAAGAGAGCGGATCGGAGGCCGGTTTGGTTTAGGCGGGCAAAGATGGGGAGGGGGACTTCCGAGGAGGAGCTTGTGGAGGGGTTGGTGGTTGGTGAGGAGGCGGAAGAGAGAGGGAGAGAGTGGAGGTGTGTCGGGCCGTAGAAGAGGGTGTGGAAGCGCAGTGACCCTCCCACCGCCTCCTTCGTCGTCGCGGTCGTCGACGTGCTCGTCTCAAACCCAACTCCTCCCTCACCCACCCGCTCACCCGCGAAAAACCTCCCCAGAACCCTCTCCCTCTCGTCCCTGCCCATCGTCGCATACTCCTCCACCCTCACATGCTTGCTCACAAACGCACCCAAATCACCCACCAAATCAGTCGCGACGTGTCCCTCTACGAGGTCGGTGACGAGGAACGTGACGAGGTGTTGAGTTGGGAGACGGATGAGAGGGGTGTTGCGGAGGGTGTTTAGGAGTGCTTCGAGCGGGCGGGAGAGGGGGGAGAAGAGGGATGAAGGGGGGATGAAGGAGGAGAGGAGGAGGGTCGAGAGTGTGCCGGGTGAGAAACGCGCTTCGAGGCATGCCAGTCGGGGTTGAGGAGCCTCGTCGGCCGAATGCGGACCCTTGCGCGGATGGTGCCCCTCGACAAGTTGCGCTACGACTCTAGCGCTCGAATCAGCGCAAGCCATCTTCATCCTCCCACTCGCGCGCCAACTCCAACTCTTCCCACTCGACAACCCAACCGTCACCCTCACCCCGACGCTTCCAGAAACATCCACCTCCACTCCCTTGGCTTCTACGCGCACTGGTTCGCGTCCGAGGTCGTGAGTGCGGGTGGTGGCGGATCGGATGCGGAGCGTGCGGAAGACGAGTTCGGAGGTGGAGAGGTCGGCTGAGAGGGAGAGGGTGTGGGAAGAGAAGGGGAGGGGGAGGCGGGTTCGGAGGCGGGGGAGGCGGGTGCTGTGACCTCACGAGACTCGATTAGCTTGGAAGGTGAGAGAGGAGAGGGAATGGAAAACGCACACTGGAATGACCGTCAGCCCGTCCAAGTCGAGGTTTGCGATGCGGGTTGCGAGGACCGGTCCGGGTGTGGTGCATGGTTGCCAGTGTCGAGTTTCGTGGGTGCTAGATGCGCTCGAGGAGTGTGCGAGGAGCGAGAGTGCGACGGAGATGAGAAGGGCACAGAGGGCGGTTGCGAGTGCCGAGAGGGCGAGGGTGCCGAGGGTGGGCATGCCCGGCGAGTTGAAGGTGAGCGAGTGCAGTCCCAGTGCCAGCCAGAGCAGTTCAGCGAGAGAGTGAGAGCGCGTCGAAGGGTGAGCGGGTCGAAACTGATGACGGCTGGACGAGGCGGTGTCGAGGGTGAGCGAGAGGAACGGCTTCGTTGGAGTAGTGCACACGCGCAATACAACCATTACAATCTACTTAGTACTGCCAATACACACGAGCGCACTCGATGGCACGCGATAGACTGCCGCGCACCTTTCACGCTCCTCCTCCTCGATCCGCGTGCTCCTCCCTCTCCTCCATCCTCTCCTGACTGCTGGACAGCGTACAACTCAGCAGAAGAGCAGTCGACTACACCCGAGCACACCCACACTCGCCGCCAAACCGCACCTTCGCCTCCTCCCCGTCGCTCTCCCTCGCTCTTTCGATCCCGCCCCACATCAACTCCCTCTCACCTCGACGCGTCTCCTCACTCGCACACGAGAACTCTCCCAGTCCCGCGCAAAGAGCAGCCCACCAGCCCGCCAACCCGTCGCCGAGTGTTCCTCGAACCTCTCGCAGCCAGCGGCGAGTGACATCGAAACGTCAACCTCTCAGACGCTCGCCCCCGACTCTTCGGCTCGCCTGTGCGCGCGTCATTGCGAGTACAGTAGAGCACTTTGAGTCGTGCGATCCGATTCAGCGGGAACGCGGGAAGTGCTTGAGGGACGCGAGAGGCGGGCGACGCTGCGGATCCTGGTGTGCGTGAGTATTGCTGGCCTCGCCTCCCTCTTCCTCTGAATGCTTCGTTGACACTCTGTCTCTTACGCAGCGAGCGTTGACGACTAGCTAGCGACGACGACCGCGACGACGACAGGTGAGCCTTCGCAGTTCCTCCCTCGCTCTGCACTGAATCCGCGCACAGAAGAAGGCTGACTGGCTGACGACAGCCCTCCTCTCTTCTCCTTCTTTGCATCTATCTCAGCCTTCACCCTCTCCTACCCATTCCACAGCGAAAGAAAGACTGGAGAATGTCCGTCCTCTCCTCCCCCCTCCCACTCGCCTGGTCCACCCCGCTCTCGTTCTCTCCCTCGTCTTCCGCGGGGAGAGGGGCAGTGAGGAAGAAACGGCGCTCGGCGTCGAGGCCGGGCCTGGTGGAGAAGAGGGAATCGTGAGTTCTCCCACGGTGTGCTCTCTTGCCTCGAGCAGTTTGAGCTGACGATGTGGATTGTGTAGCAGTAGCTCCTCTTCCACCAGCAGCTCATCTTCCTCCTCCCTCGACACGCCCGACGAACCCCTCACGCCCCCCTCGGATTCTCCCTCTCCCTTCCTCGCCTCCTCCTCTCACTCGCCCTTCTTCTCATCCTCCACAAAATCGCCAACCGCATTCCTCGAGTACGCACTCGACTCCTCTGCCCTCCCGCGTGTGTCGAAGGACGTGAAGGGGAGGAGGGGGAGGAGGGCGCGGTCGCTTTCCCCGCCTTCTTCTTCCGGCTCCTGGACTAGGGACAGGGAAGTGATGGCTTGGAGGACGAGGACGGGGACGAAGCAGGAGGGTGTCAGAAGAAGCGAGAAGGGAAGGCAAAGGACGAGGTTGCCCGAGGGATGGGAACATATCCCCTGGATCACCTCTTCGTCGTCCTCCGATGACGACGACCTGCTTCTCGAATGGACGACTCCGAGGGGTAGAAGCAGAAGCGGAAAGGAGGGAGAGGAAGATGAAGATCGACCCCCGAGTCCGCCCAAGACTCCTTCGCCGCGCCTTTTCGAGAGGGGGCCGATACTCGACGTCCCGCTTCGACCTTCTCCCCTTCCGACGTCGTCGTCCGCGATCTCGACAAGGCGAAGGTCGGTGACGAGGTCCGACCTTCCATCCCTCCGCTTCCAACTCTCCCCTTCGCCGCCTCGCTCGTCCGCAAAATCAACGACGAAAACTGGGGGGAAGAGTCGTTCGGCGCCGACGAGTCCGACCAAGCCGCGCTGCGAGATTGTCGAGCTTTCGACAACGGGTGAAGGGGAGGGGGAGGGCGAGGAGCGGAGGAGGAGGCGGAAGAGTTTGAGGGAGAAGGAGGGGAGTGGGAGGAGGAGGGCTAGGGAAGAGCGGGTGGAAGGGAGGGAGGACGATCAGAGGGAGGAGTTTGGCGCGTACGAGGTTCCGACTGAAGCCCCCGGACTGGGGATCACCATTCCCTCTCCCTCGACCGACGGGACCTTCGCAACCCGCCCCTCCTCTTCTTCTTCCTCCTGCCACCCCTCGCTCTCACCCTCCTGTTCCTGCGACTCGACCGACTCCTCCGACTCCTCCCCCGACGCATCAACCATCGACCACTTCCACCTACACTTCCAATCCCTCCCCCTCCTCCGGCTGCGTCACGCCCTCTCGCTCGCCTCCACACTCGCCTCCCTCCCTTCCACCTCCCTCTCCTCTCAGCGCCACCTCTCCACCCCGCGTCCTTCGCACTTCACGCGCACCTCGATCTTAGGGTCGGAACAATACAGGCTTTATGCGATGGGACGCGCGAAAGCGGAGAGGACGGGTGGAGTCGGGTATTGGGAGGGCGGGAGGGAGGTTTGGGCTGCGGTGTTGGAGAGTTGAGAATGTGCAGTGAGGAGGGGCGCGTCCCCTCCTCGCAAGATTCGTTCTTCCTTTTTCGCGATTTCGCCCGCACGCGCTTCCGCTTCCTCGTTGTTCAGTCTCGCGTTTCGTTCGGATCTGTCGTTGTGCTTGTTCCCACGTTCTGTACCCCGTGCAATTCCGCTGTTCTGTCGATGAGGTGCCGCCACAAGTCCTTCCTCGATATTCCGGTTCGCACGACGTCCTGAGAGCAACGAGGAAGCGAGAGCGAGAGCGACAGAGAGAGAAAGGCGAGACGGGCGAGGAGCGAGGAGAGACGAACGAGAGGACAGAAGATACAGTTCGCAACCCGCGTCCTCGCCTACCTCAGGCCAAAGAGCGTGGAGCTCGCGCCGTCTCGCGATACTCAGCAAGCGACGTGAAATACTCGTATCCAATGCAAGATCCCTTCCGCAATACCTCCGAACCCTCCCCCTCATCCTCCCGCCCTCACTGCCGCGCTCAGAACGCAAAACTCGGCAACTCTGCCTTACTCATACCCCTGACAATATCCTTAACCGCCGCCAGAGCCTTGTCCTCTTCCTTCGATCCCGTCGAGGGGAAGACGCCGTCGAAGCCGAACTGGAGGAGAGGGAGTTCCGGTTTCGAGAGTGCGAGGGCGGCAGATTTGGGGTCTCGAGGGGTCGTAGAGGGCTCGGTGGAAGCGGATGGTGCGGAAGCAGCCGATGGCGCGGGAGTGAAGGTGAAGGGTGAGGTGCTGGAGCCGGCTGCGGGCGCCGCGGAGAACGGGTTCGCTGCGGGAGTGGCGGGGGAGAAACTGAACGCGGGTTGGGCCGGGGACTGCGCCGAAGCCGAAGTCAATCCGGCCTGCGCCTTCGAAGGTGCGGCGGACGACGCGGACTGGCCGAAGGAGAAAGGCGAAGTGACAGACGCGGTCGACGCGCTGAACCTGAAGGCTGAGGGAGGCGCGGCCGTCGACTTCTTCGTCTTGGAAGACTTGGGCGCAGCGAAAGGCGGAGGCGGCAGTTCCTCCCCCTGTTCCTCCTCCTCTTCCTCCTGCTGCTCTTCCTCCTCCTCGAGCTCGTCCTCCTCCTCCTCGCCCTCGTCCTCCCGCTCAACCTCCATCGACGCATTCTCCTCCTCGTCGTCCTCGTCTTCAGAGTCGGACAGCGTGAGGACCTCGGCCGGCTTCTTCTTCGGAACCTCCTTAGGCTTCGAAGCGGGTTTGGGCAGCTCTGCGGCTTTGGCGGGCTTGGACGGCTTCGAAGTCTCGCGGCGGTATTCCTGCACGGCAAAGTGGAGGCATCAGCACAGACTCTGCTGAATGATGACAGCTGAACGCACGGCAGGCATCGTTCGCTCGAGCTGCTCGAGCGGAGAAATCGCAGGAGGCGCAGGCTTCGGCTTCTCCTGTCGCGGCTGAGGCGCGGGAGATTTGAGCTTCGGGCTCACGACCTGTCGAGCCGGGGCATCAGCGGCAGTCTACACAGACAAGGAAGAGATGTGCTCACCTTCTTCGGCGCGGGTTTGCTCTTCTTCGCCGGTCCAGTGACGGAAAGCAAGTTCTCCTCGCTGTCGTACGGGTTGAGGATGGCGCCCTTTGGGATGGCGACCTTTGCAGGCGGTGCGCGCGCCTCGTCCTCCTGGCGGATGATGTCGAGCATCATGTCGGCTGCGCGGGTGGATGGCTTGATAGAGGCGGTGTTGCGAGGCGGGGAGGGGGTAGGGGCATCTGCTAGAGCGAGCGTCAGTGCGATACGGGGAGATTGCAGGCTGGCGAATCAAGCGCACCGGTCTGGCTGACCTGCCACAGCGGCGACGGCTTGGCAGGCGTCGCTGCAGCGCGCGATTCGTTGCGAACGGCAGGACGTGCCGACTGTGTCGGAAGAGCCGCTTTCGCGCCTCGACTCGAAGGTGCCGGAGAAGCGAGCACATCGTCGAGGCTGGCAACAGGGATGTCGTCCTCCTCGTCCCGCTCGGTCCGTCGGCGCTTCCCATCCGTCGCGTCAGGGCCCGAAGCGAGGCTGGCAAGCGACGACTCGCTCTGGCTGCCTGACAACCCTGCCAAGGTCTTTCGCCGCCGGCTCGAATAGCCCGCGCCGACGTAGACGGGCCGTCGCCGTTTCGGCAGTGCAGACGATGTGGTGGTTCGCTGCTGCGGAGCTGCTAGACCGGGAGAGAAGGAGGGCGCTGCGTCATGTGTCGAGTGGAAGTTGGGGGTGAAGGCGGTCGGAACGTTTTGGGCTGTGCAGACAGAGTGTCAGTTGCGTAACTTCGCGCTTGTCCGACACGCACACGCACCTCGTTGCATGAGCTGCAAGACGCCAGCCTGTTCGACAGCAGTCAAGTGCTCGTCTCCACGCGATGCCTTTTCCTGGAAGAATCGCGCGAGCTCGTGCGTCGCGGTGCTCGAGATGCTGTCGACGGCGCTGTGCGCTGTCCGTGCCGACTGCGCATCTGCAAAGTGTGCAAAGCTGGGAGAGCGGCTGTAGTTGCCGGGGAAGCGCGGCGTTGCGAGCGAGCGGGCGGCGAAGTTGGGCATCGAGTTGGAGGCCGACAGAGTTCCTGACGAGCCGCCGGCCTGTCTCGTTCGGTCAGAGAGCGTGTCGGGGGTAGGAGAGGCTGGTGCGTGCTGGTCGGGCTGTTCGACAGAGAAGGGCGCCGTTCGAGTGAGTGAGGCGAACTCTCACGGCTGACGGGGACGACGCACCGCGTCTGCCAGGGGCAGGACACTCCCATGCAAAGCAAAGTGCGCAGCCTCGTCCGCCGAGTCACCTTCTTCGTCCTTAACAGCCGCCTCGTCGTCAGATGCGTCGTCCTCGCGCGGCGGCGTCGGCTCCCGCTCGTTGCCCTTGCGCGCCGACCGAAACGGCGACACGTAAGACAGCAAGCTGCGCAGGCGGGACTGAGTGGCACGCAAGGTCAGCTTTGGAGCGCTGTGTCGAGCGAGAGATGAAGACGCACCGGGGTCGACTGCGCTGGCTGTGGCGCTGGCCGCGCATACGGCGACTGACGGCGGGCTTGTCGGTTCGCCTGTGCGTTTCTGCGCGGGCTGTCGGCCATGGCGGCGGTTGTCGAGGCGGAGGGAGGCGGAGGTGTTCAACGAGTGTTGGTCGTCGAGAGGTCGTCGAGGTGCGTCCTTCGTTCTTGCTGAAAGTGAAGCTGGGCGCGATGGAAGTACGGACGAGCGCTCGCCACTTCAGTGAAGCACTCTGGAGGACGCGCGGGGATTCACAGAGCTGTAATGCCTGTATAGATGCACACCGTGACAAGCAAGCCATACAAACGGGCTGCATGGTGTAGTTGGTCATCACGTATCCTTAACATTCAGTGGTTCGGATAAGGTCCTCAGTTCAAACCTGGGTGCGGTCATCACCTTTTGCTGGCTCCCAGGCCCAGCATTTGGTTTCCCTTTTCTTTTGACTTTACATGCAAGTTCGCATGTAGCAGGCCAGCCGCAGTGCACACAGAGGGTCGACACGGCATTCGCTGGCTGACACGAGGTCCTGCCTTTTGCTTTGACTGCATGGTACAGCGGAAGACAGCTATTCGACCAGGGCAAACACGGTTGGCCATATATAACTGCACTGTTTGCCCGGCGTGCTCGGTACAGCCTAGAAATAGGCCTAGCTTTGCTCAAGTGTCCGAGTGGTTAAGGAGACAGACTTGAATCTCTTCGTTCAATGGCATCTGTTACGCTTTGCGTGCGCAGGTTCAAATCCTGTCTTGAGCGCGCTGTACCTCTTTTGCTGCCGAAGAGCAGAAATGAACCCCTTTTTGCAGTCGCGGCTGTTGCTTTCCATCCTGGGGTGGAACCACACGTTGCCAATGTCTCTCGCAGTGGCAGGTACAATCTAAGAGCCTGAGTTACAATAGTAGTTGGGTTGGGGAGTTGAAGGTAAGCTTTCCCACGGGACGTCTCCCGCTCACCGTTTGGTTTCAGCCTGATCCCTCACAACCTGCACATTGTGTTGTGAGGCACACCCTTGGAAGTTGTTAATCTCGAGTTCTATGTCAGCACCAGGAGGAGTGGGCTTCAAGCTAAGAGCGGGGTGGACGACCTCCTTTCCTCCCTCCTCCCCTTGTCCTGGCGGCTGGAAGGCACTGATGAGCCGCAACTTGACAAATTTTGATGGTGCGGAGTCTGCGGACTGCTCTGTACCCGTCGCTTAGCAAGCAGCGAGATTGTCGGGAGCATTGCGCGAGCGGGTCAGCAGGAGAAAGAGGCTGGAAAGGAGCAGGAGTAATAGTACATAAGCGCAAACTCCTTCTTTCCAGCTGGGACTGGTCAAGTGCGGTGGAATGAGTGCAGGAGAGTGTGGGAAGTGTGCTGGGGAGTGGATTCTGCCTGTTGAGGAGGAAGAGGTCTCGCTTTCCAGGTGAACCGTGAGGGTGGCCTTCTCACCTTGCCTCTCACTCTCGAACTGACTCTGTTCCGCTGCTCACAGGTTTGGCCGCTTTCTTGGGGTCAGTAGGAGCAAGAGGGT